GCACCCTCACAGCTCGCACAATGCGCTCCATTCTGATTTTCACCCACGTTCTGGCGGAACGCGGGTGAGCCTCCATACACGGTATGTCGTGAATCAGAAAACGTCTGTACGTGGGTCACTGAGTATCACGTGATACACACACATAAAGTACCCACGGACTACTTGGGACTAAACCTCCCTATTATGTGTGTGTGTGTGCGTGTGTTTGTATGTGTAATCTACGTGTCTGTATGTATGTTTGTGTGTGGGTGTGTGTGTATGTGTGTGTGTGTGTGTGTGTGTGTGTGTGTGTGTGTGTGTGTGTGTGTGTGTGTGTGTGTGTGTGTGTGTGTGTGTGTGTGTTTCTGGCTCTGTTCTCTTTTGTTTGCTGGCCACTGCTCAGTGATGTATGTATCTGCTCAGCATGACCCACTACACTTTTCAGCCACATCATGTTGCCTACTGGTAGCATTGCTCACAGGTGACTTGTCAGCATGCTGAACTGAACCACTGCAACCACCTGCATATATGCAAGTCTCTATTTAAATCTTTACCTTTGCAGCTATAGAAAAGAAAATGGACCAAGGAACTACAAGTTATCGCATGAGCTGATTGTTTAGTAACTGGTGGTGGTAGTGGACATTATAGCTTGTAGTTCCTTGGTCCATTTTCTTTTCTATAAATTAATCCTTTGGTCTCCATCCGAGTCCATTCTTTGCAGCTATGTACCATATTTTTCCGGAATATAAGCCGCCCTTCGAACACTCCATATTCACCCAAAGGGGGGGGGGGGGTGAGTGCAGCTCATACTCCGACGATCGAATTAACGGTGATGAAAAGGGTAGATGTCTGTATTTCGTGGCAAGAAATAATCTGACTGCGGCTTATACTCCGGAAAGTATGATAATCTTTCTCCCCCGTCCTTCTCTCCCGTTCCTCGCGTTGTAGAACCGCAAAGAGTTGGAGAAGCAGAAGAAGAAGGTGGATGCTGAAGCACGTGAGCTGCAGGAGAAGCTGTTTGCAGCGCTGATGAAGATCCAAGAACTGGAGTCCACTGTTGCTCGCCTTGAAGGAGAGCTATCCTCCACAAACCAGCGGTGAGCATGAACACCAGTGGTGGCTCTTGATATCTATCACCATTAGAATCTTCTCTGTAGCGTAAATCATCAGCTGTCAAAGCCCGGTTATGTCCATATAGGGTGCTCTGTTCCTTTTCTCGTCATGCCAAATCAGCACGTTGTCTTTAACTTGTTCTGCTGTATTGCAAGGTGCTGTACACTGTGTGTGTGTGTGTGTGTGTGCGTGTGCGTGTGCGTGTGCGTGTGCGTGCACGCGCGTTTGTGTGTGTGTGTGTGTGTGTGTGTGGTGTGTGTGTGTGTGTGTGTGTGTGTGTGTGTGTGTGTGTGGTGTGTGTGTGTGTGTGTGGTGTGTGTGTGTGTGTGGTGTGCATGCGTGTCAGGTATCTGTAGGCTTGAAGAGGAGAGTGCCGCCAAGGCGCAGCTGGAAAAGAAGCATCGTGAGCTAGAAGGTCAGATCGCCGACTTGAACGAAGATTTGGACATGGAACGTCCCGCCAGAGGAGACGCTGATAAGAAGAGCAAGCAGCTGGAATCGGTACGTTCACTTCTCCTCTTTCACCCATTTAAGACTACATGTCATGGCAACCAGGCTCTGCACTCCTTATTTGGCATTGAAAAAGACGTACATATACGTCCTCAGCGCCTGGGCGTTATTTTTCATGACGTATATGTATATGTATGTCTTTGGCATTAAATGAGTTAATTCATTGCAACTAGCTGAATTGACGATCATCAATGACTTCCTGAACGTTGTGTCGCATGCCTCGTGTGATGCTTCTTTTATAACTTTCCCTCACGTTCTGCCTCTATCTCTGTCTCCATGTCTCTCGCAAACACACACACACACACACACACACGCACGCACACACACACACACACACACACACACACACACACACACACACGTGCTCACTCTACACACCTCCCCCCCCCCCCCACAGGAACTGGAGAATCTTCAGAATGAGCTTGAGGAGCAAGTGAGTGGCACGATCGCCATGGAGGAAGTGTGTCGCAAGCGTGAAGGAGAGGTAGCCAGTCTGAAACTGCAGGTGACGGAAGGCACTCGTATGCACGATGCCGCATTGTCCGAGCTCAAGGAGAAGCTCAACTCTCAGATCCAGCGTCTGCAGGAGGAGGCTGATCAGCTGAGTCGAGTAAGTCCTGTTGTCTGTTGTTTGGTGAACATTGCGTACCTACCAGACATTGTTCAAAGTGGGAAATGGAGTTTGCGGTGAAAGCATACGACATGGTCTTGGTATACATGAACACGCTGAGTAGAGTAAGTACTGCTGTGTGTTGTCTGTTGTCTGTGTTCTGGTGGACAATACGGACCTAGAAAACATCCTGTGCACAAGGAAAATTGGCTTTTGGGTGAACAAAGACGAAATATTCTTGATACTGTTAACAGGGAAACATGCCTGTTTTAGTAAGTAATTTGCAAGCACACGCACCGATTTGCACCTGGAAAGGTTTGCGATTGGAGTCAATTTCTTTAGTTACTTTCCTACAAGTCAACGTTTTGTGTCAGCTTATTTTTGCGGTTCCACACCCATAGCGAAAATCGCAAACGATTCCATACCGCAAATGTTTCCCGGTTTACAGCTATACTGGTACATGAACTGAACTACCTAACCTGTCCTCTGTGTGTGTGTGTGTGTGTGTGTGTGTGTATTTGTCTGTCTGTCTATGTGTGTGCCTGTCTGTGCGTATGTTTGTTTGTTGTCTGTTCAACTCTAGGCCAATTCCAACCTGGAGAAGGAGAAGAATCGCCTGGTGCATGAGAACCGTGACCTGGTGTCCGAGTTGGAGAGCGAGAAGGCGGCTCGCATTGAGTCCGACCGTCGTCGTCGTAACCTGGAACAGGCTAACATGGAGTTGTCCAATGTCAACAGTGAGAAGAACAGGAAACTGGACGAGCTCACTGCCACAAAGACCAAACTTCAGGTCAGCGTTGGGTAGTTACTAGTAGATGTGTGTCACCAAGAGTACACCAACACCCAGAGTGTCATTTGTACAACTACATGTACAAGCAGGATTCAAGCACATCTCTAACGCTAAAACGTTTGCCAAGAGTGTTGTCTCAACGTGTACTGTGTGATGAACATGGTAATGAGCTGGGTATTTGCTCAAGTAGACGTCTTTAACTCTGAGAGTGAGACCATAAATTTCAGGTTCTTCAGCACTGACATTTTTGAAACGTTTCACAAGTAAACTTTCATGCCCTCTCCTCAGTTGATATGGACGTCTTTGTTTTTTGTTCTCGTGTTCTTGTCTTCAGTCTGACCTTGAAGGTAGCAATGCTCACTTGGTGGATCTGGAGTCTAAGGTGTCTAGCCTGGAGCGCGGCAAGCATGCGCTGGAATCCCAGCTCAATGAGCTCAGGGTAAGCTTAGCTTCCAACTGCTGTGGGTGGGGATAGCATGCACAAGTACACTGGAACTCACATGTGGGGTAGTGCCTTTGCTGATTGCATTATGCAGAGCTCACTGACTTGTCAGTTCGAGCACTCTGTGACAAGGTACATTCGGGCCTGGTTTAAATCTGGCTTCTGGATCACGCCACGTCCTTGACTCGCAAGTCACACGCTATGTACAGCTCTGGACACGATTGGTGGCCCGTGCACCTACTACTAATAGATATCTGGTACTTGAAAGTCTTTGCAGACGTGGATGATACTCCTAAACCCATGTTGTTTTCTTGTGTATTCGGGCTATGCAACGGTTTCCAACCTGTCCTCGACAGCATTTCACCAGTGCATGATTCTAACCACAGGTTTATGGCCAGTACCACCACCTGCCACCTACTTTCAAATGCCAGTATGATAACAACGCTGTATATCCGTATTCGAAAACGTATTGCCGAGGGATAGCTGAGGGACAAAAAATGTATTCGGAGCTGAAAATGGTATTGTGCTGCATTCTTGTCTTTCCTTGCTGTTGTTTTTAATTCTCATTGTTCAGGAGTCAACGATGGAAGATGCAGCTAGTCTCTCTGCTGTCACACACAAGCTAAAGGCCTCACGGGCTGAAGTAGTAACTCTCAATGATCAGCTGGAGGAGGAGCAAAATGCCCGCGAAGAGATGCAGAAGCAGTTGAGCAATGCCAACACTCAGGTACATATAGTTCGGATACCTAGGCATGCCTGCTGTCTCTCTCTCCGTCTCTCTCTCTCTCTCTCTCTCTCTCTCTCTCCCTCTCTCTCCCTCTCTCTCTCTCTCTCTCTCTCTCTCTCTCTCTCTTTGTTTGTTTGCTCTGTCTGTGCAATATTCTTGGGTTGGTTCTTGGGCAATTCTCCAATGGCTCACTCCGAAACCTCTCTGCTATTGGCAACAGTGCTCATTCAAGTCATGCTCTCTGCTCGGTGCTCTGTACTTCTACCTGTGTGTGTTTATGTGCAGCTTGCTGATACACGTCGGGATCGTGACCAACTATCCCTGGACAACGAGGAGCTGGAGAACTACCGCAAGAAGTCGCAGAGAGAAATGGAGTCTCTGCAGACGCAGCAGGACGAACTGGCCAACGCCAACGCCAAGCTGGAGAAGACCAAGAAACGACTAACGGAAGAAGTGAGCTATGCTGCATGCCTGCGTGGCTGTTCTCTAATGCTATATGCTGGTAGTTAGGCTGTTGTACAGTTATGCTCGATGAAATCCGACCTAAAGTGCATGGAGCCGTCTACTTGCACGGCCCTTGACGCTCTGGGAGTGGCATGAATGCTGCAGGACGTACACATGTTCACATGCAGTGATGAAATCGGAACTGGTCCTGGGCGTCAGTTTTTCACTTTTCTGTTGGATTTCAGTGAGTGCAGCTGTAGGTTTCTGACTGTAAAGTTCAAGAGTCACTAGGCAGCATGGTGCATGATGAAGGGTTTGCTATATCCAAGCAAACTGATCTTGTTCCTAATAAAATAAATAAAGGAAGAGTGAGCCAAACTATCGTAAGCGAATGTGCTTATAGTTATTATGTGAACACGATTGGTGGAATACTCGGCAGCTGAATTTACTACTAAGGCCTCGGTCACACTGCGGCAAATTTGAAACTGGACGCAGCGTCAAACCCAAGCACTTTGGTCACATGACCAAGATGTGAAACCACTCTAAACTCCTGGGTGTAGTATCGGTTGAGTTCTTGTAAGTACAGTGCCAGGGAACACGATAAGATTTCGAACTTGCTCTGACACAATGTCCTGCCACTTCTGGAAACGGTCGGACATGGCCGGACACTGTGATTTGGCAGATTCTGTGCTACATGGACATGTCAGGGACTCTTATTTTCCATCACTTTCATACACGTACATGTACATACTCCCCCCCCCCCCCCTGGGGGTACATACTCTTGATGAGTTCATCCTGACTTCTCTCTATCTCTTTACGCATTGCTCTGCAGGTTGCCGACCTCAGTGTGAACTTTGAAGCCCAGGCAGCCCGCGCCGCAGAGCTGGAGAAGAAACAGCGCAAGTTTGACCAGACGCTGACGGATGAGCGGGCCAGAACGGAAGAGACTTGTGAGCAGAGGGACGCCGCACTGCGTGAGTCCAGAGAGTATGCTACAAAGGTATGTGACGGTTTTTTTGTATCTCCGTCATGGACAGATTGTGCTCTGGTTTGGTCATGCGTTGGACTGTCATTCTGTGTACTAGTATTTGCAAGAGTACATAACCCCTCAGGAGTGTGCAACTCCACTATGGGTGCTGTCCCGACAGAATTTCAAGTTGACAAGTTGACATCATTTCTATGATGCAATGCCACCTGAAGGCATAGTGGTGGCCTGCGGAAGCGAAGGCTATACCTTGTGTGTTTCTGAACATTCAAGTGATGCTAACGCGGATCCCGCGAATATTATTATATTATTATAATGCGAACTGAACTGAACCGACATAATGTGACCCATAGATGCAGGGGTTGTGTGGAGTTGGAACCAACATGGCCGACGTCATGTGACCCATAGATGCAGGAGTTGAGTGGAGGTGGAACCTACATAGCTGGCCCGTGTTATAATTATGGTCATGCGATAGATTTGATAGATGTGAACCAATCTCCATTCAGCTGATGTCAAGCTCTGATAATGAGAACATGTTTTTTTGCTGCGTGTTTGTTCCTGTATTGTTTGCATATAGAACATGGCATTAACACAGGACGTGGAGATGTTGACCAATAAGCTGGCTGAGTCTGAGCGCTCACGCAAGTCACTGCTTGCTGAGCTCAATGATCAACTGGAGAACAAGGATGACACTGGTAAGCTAGGTAATGATCAACTAGTGAATTATTAGTATCATCTCCTCTGTGTGTGTGTGTGTGTGTGTGTGTGTGTGTGTGTGTGTGTGTGTGTGTGTGTGTGTGTGTGTGTGTGTGTGCATGTGTGTGTGCATGTGTGTGTGTGCATGTGTGTGTGTGTGTGTGTGTGTGTGTGTGTGTGTGTGTGTGTGTGTGTGTGTGTGTGTGTGTTTGCGTGCATGTGTGTGTGTGTGTGTGTTTGCGTGCATGTGTGTGTGGTGTGGTGTAGTGTGTGTGTGTGTGAGGGAGAGAGAGAGAGAGAGAGAGATCATGTGCCTTTATGTCTTTTCTACTCTTCGTCTGTCTGTGGACGATTTCCTCTGATCTTTGTTCTCATATGAAGGTACTGTAGTACTAGTATCAGTAGGGTGGACTCTTTTCTAGAGTTGGTCAACTCTGGTGTCTTCCTTGTTCAAAGCACTTCACTCCGTGTGTGCGTGTGCGTGTGTGCGTGGTGTGACCTGCAGGTAAATTACTTCATGAACTGGAGAAGGCCAAGCGTAACTTGGAAGCACAGCTTGATGACCAGACGATGCAACTGGAGGAGCTAGAGGATGAGCTCCAGAGTGTGGAGGATGCTAAGCTCAGACTGGAGGTAAGTAGCCTTGATGTGTCTGTGTCTGTGCCGCGGACGCTTGTGTATGCGTTTACGGGCATGCGAGTGGGTCACGGCTGTCACGATGGTCATGTACTCGGCCAAAAAATATGGCGTCCAAAAATTTGAAAATTCAAAAATCTCATCATCGATCTGTCATTGATTTGCTTGAAAATACTCTTTTTCTCTTGAGGAAACCTCCACTTTCCCCTTCCAATCCACCGGGTTTCATAGTACAAACACGCTTCATGACTTCCTCTCGCGATCCTCTTTCATCTGATACCCGTCTTGGCCGTCTTCTTCCAGGAACGATTCCTTCAGAGGTGCGTTTCCTTTGCCTTGACGACTTGCCCTTCGTCACTTCTATCAGCCCTTTTCACAGCTACCTTCTTCTCTTGTAAAAGTTTTCTCGTCTTCTTTGCCAGTTTTCCTGGTGCCTGGGTGACTTCATTTACCGATTTTTTGAATTTGTTTGTCTTTCCGTGCTACTAGATCGATTTCCGTGGCCATCGATTCTACCGTATCGCGTGCTAGTAGTAGTGTGTAAAATGGATGAACACAGTGCATTGCTGTCTACCTGCTGCAGTATTGGTGGCAAAAAGTTTGCCAACATGGCTGTGTCCACGAAATACAACGTGAAGGACTATGCCAGATCATTCAAGATGTGTACGAGGTCGACATTTCTCAGGATGACCCTGCGATCCACCCTACACACATTTGTCATGTATGCAAACGTGTGCTGGATCGTTGTCTGAGAGAAGGTTGCCTTGACTCATTTGTAGGGGATGGATGTGGAGCGATCAAAGTGTGGAAGCCACATCACCGCACATACTGCGACATATGCCACACTGCACCAAACAAGGGTGGACGTCCACCAAAAAAGCAGAAGCAACTTGCTTCAAAGCTTTCTGCTGTACAAAAAAGAAAAAAAGAAATGGATCACACAACAGTCCCACAACATTCATCCACAACAGCAATACCCCTATCACACTCTCCTGGACCCCAGACTGAACACAGTACTAGTGAAATGGATGTAGATGAAGGAAATGTTTTCACGCACGCAACACCGACATACAGCGCACAGAAGAAACTGGACAAGACTAGGTTCGTTCATTGCGCAGCAGGTTCCACAATACACAGCAAGGGAAGTGCCAATGAATAAGAAAGACGGCAGCATAGTGATGGCATGCATGGCGTACATGCCAAATCTCATTGACATCGTGATGATCTGATGATCTGGACTTGTACGACACATATGGGTGGCTGACCTGGCACGGAAATGTCATTCCGGAGTCCGAGATTCGGCTAAAACTTGGCGGTGACCGCCTCTGGAGCAAATCTTTCGCAAGCCAAGCACCACAACAATGCCATCCGCCCAGTTATCTTGCCAATTCCCGTCAGCAACGTTGTTATTCCGTCTTTTCATCTGGATCTCGGCATTTTCGCATGGCTGTATGACATCTACCTAGCTGAAGCCAAACAACTGGATGTGAAACTGGCAGCAGCAACTCTCTAGCCGTGTGCAGATGATCAGCTCCAGTTTCAAGAGCTAACAGTTCTCAGCGACAAAGTTCGGTCCGCCAGGCAAGCTATGGAAGATGCCCAGGCGAAGAGCGATGAACTACAGCAGCAGCTCCAATATGCAGTGCTCTTGCAGCAACACGCACCGACCAGCTTTCCCAACGTCAACATGGACACTGTAGCTGCAGCAATACAGCAACTGTGGAAAGACGCCAGCGACGCCTTCACTGCTGCAAGTGCTGAGCACAGCAAACTCGTACATGACTTAGACGAGATGAGAAAGAACAAGAAAGTCACAGGACCATGCGCGTCAAGTCTCGAGTCTGTGCTCCAAACACACAATGTTGATCGGCAAGCCTTCCATGGCGGTGCCTTCGTGGGCAACCATGTACATCGCACACTGCAGCCTGCCGTACTAAGAGCACTGATGTCTGCTCCAGTTGAGGTGGTTTCCACTCGTTGCCAGCAGCTCGTTGCTGATGCAGAAATCTTGCAGCAGCGGTACCATGGATTGTTTTCGGGATATGCCGACTGCAGCCACCGTTTCAGCCATTGCAACAGCATGTCAGAGGCCGACATCTCAAAGCTGGCTGACTGCATCCAGCTGTTTCTTCAGAAATGCAGAGAATCCATTATCACCCGGCAGCTCGGCAACATAACTCCGAAACTACATCTCTTGGAGGAGCGCACAGTCCCGTTCACCAGGAAATTTGGAGTCGGTCAGGGTCGACTCGCCGAGCAGGGCAGCGAGTCAATTCATGCCAGATTCAACAGGCTGAGCTTCGATTATAACGCTATTCCTGGGACTCTGCAGCGCCTCACAGCAATGTGCCAGCAACATCTCGTCGGGACATTGCCACAACATGACGCTGTTCGTCCCGCCACGGCATCAAGAAAACGCAAGGCGTCCGAGCTCGAGCAGTGATCCTCAGGCCCTGGACGCAGCAGCTTGGCCATTTCAGCCCTGATCCAGGTAAGAAAAATAACAACGGTACTGCTGACTCCTAGTTGAGCTCTGTAGTGACAACAGGAAGAGACGTCGTCCAGCAAAAACCTGCTGTCTACCTTCTCCTTCCTTCTCTTTCCTTGTTTGTTGTTGTCGAAGCTGAACAATTTTTGTTGTGCGACTTCGAAAGTTTGAATCCTTGTCCCGATCGCGGTGTTTGTTACCTTGACAAAGCACAGTTTTCGCGTGAATCCCACAGGATCTTGAAATCTTTTTCAGTTTTCAGAATATTTTTGAATTTCACCGTAAACCTGGGCGAAGGCCGCCATATTGTTAAGTGGTGGCCGCGAAACAGCCGTGGGGTGTACCTAAAGGTTCGGCAGCATATCATTAACATTTGGCAGCACTATACTGAAACTGAAGGAACTTGCAGCTCCCAGATTTGTCAGGCTCATCCAGCACTAAAATCGGGAGAACCCCTGACTCTGGGTTGCACACACTATAGTGAGTCTGATGGGTCTGAGAGAATGTCACTTACACTCACTAACTATTGCTTTGTCTGTTCCGCATGTCATTGCTCAGGTCAACTTCCAGGCCACCAAGACCAACTGGGAGCGTGAGATGGCGTCGAAGGATGAAGTTGTGGAGGAGCAGCGCCGTGGAATGCAGAAGCAGCTGCGTGAACTTGAGTCGGACTTGGAGGACGAACGCCGCAATCGATCATCTGCTGTCGCCGCCAAGAAGAAGCTGGAAGGCGAGATGAGAGAACTGGAGAATGACAAGCTGCAGTTGGAGAAGGGCAAGGAGGATGCATCCAAACAAGTTAGACAACTTCAGGTGAGAACCCTGACAAAGCATTATCAGGAGCGTAGCTGGTCCCCCTTTTAGGGGGTTGAACGGCCGCATATGTTTAGGATGATGGCTGGTGCATGTCATACATGGTCATTATGTGCATGCTGAATCTAGGTCGGAATTGTTAGGGGGTGCACGTACCCCCCCCCCCCCTCCAGTGTGAGCTATGCGCTGGTGGATTCATACGTTGTTTATCCGGGCGGTCCAGGACGGGGCATTGCTCGTGTCTTCGAACTATCTTTAGCTCGGAGTCGCATACGATTCGATTGAGAAAGGCGGGTGATATGGCATATGACGTCACATTTCCACAAAAGTGACAAAGAGTAGTAATATTTCCACTAGAACTCGTGCAAGTGTGCCCTGCAGACGTAAGTGACGTCAACTTTGGTGTCGGGATAACTGACTTACCAGTATGTGTGTACTTGTACCTAGCTAGGTGGTGGCTGGGTATGCGCGTGTGCATGTGTGCGTGTGCTTTCTGGGTGGTGCCGGTTGGTTGGAATGAGCATGTGAGGTTGTTCTCGGATGGAGCGTCTGTGTTAGCCGACACCATAGCCTCTACTGCAGTTGCTGCTGCTGCTGCTGCTGTTCTTACTAATGATGGTGATGTTATGGACGCTACTGCATGTTATGGAGGATCACGAGATCCGCCGAATCCGCTATCGGCAATCCACAACAACAAGGCCTCGGAGTGATGGAGAACGCCCCTTCTATTCAGTTTCGAACTGCTACTAATGTCCCTTTAGACACTCATACAACACACGCCTTTCGATAGGTGTTGTTCTTCGATCTTTTCACACAAGTACGAGAAATAAACGTAACACTGACTCTAGCAACAACTGCAAGAAAACTGAATGCTTCATCGCATCATCATCTCTCTCTCATCTGATGGAATAATGGGAGCGCAGCGATTCTTATGGTAGGTTGAAAGCACACAGCCAGCACATCAGGAGCCAAACACAGACGAAAGGAAACAATTGGAATAAACAATACAGTGAACAATTCCGCTGCATGGTTAACAAAGAATAACCGCAGCTAACCGCTCAGACAATCACCGGGTGGTCACCGTCTGGGGCACGTCAATGCACAAAGGTAAAAACGGCCAATATTGCAGAAGTATTCAATATGGCAGGAAACTACTACTAACCAACTCTCCGTCCGTGTCCAAACACCTACATTTAGAAGCTACCTGGAATACTGTGGCTGTGCTATTATTAGAATACATACTGGATGACAATGCACAACAGAAACTAGCAGTGTCCTCCTGAACATCCTCCCCCTCGCCATATGCTCCCAGAGTAGCATGTGGCAACTACTGATTTGCTATGCCAAAAATGCATATACAGCGTAACAAACGTGCACCGAGAATAATGTGCAGCAGCACCGCATGCTGCAACGACAGAGTATGAATAGCTATTTCATGTTTTCAGCAAGGCACACAGCTTGCACAGTGTTCCTCTTGGTATGATACATTCAGCATATCGGCTACTGACTGTAGCGGTACCTCACTAGATCACTTCAGCATTCCAGTGGGCACACACGGGAGATAGGCCGTTTGTATTGCTGATTACCGGCTTGCAGCTTCACAACTCGCACATGCCCGTCTGGACCTGGGTAAACTTCGATTATCCTTGCGAGACGCCACTGACCTCTAGGTGTTGCTGGGTCAATCAGCAGGACAACGTCCCCTACCGCCAGATCTCGGCGCACGTTCAGCCATTTCTTCCGTTGGTTGAGCGTCGGGACCCATTCTCGCAGCCATCTTCTCCAAAAGTGCTCCACTAGCATCTGCACATGCCGCCATCGTCGTTGTACTGATCTCCCATCGTCATTTTGTGCGGCCGGAACAAGCTGTCCTTCAGATCGTCCATGGAGGAAGTGGTTGGGAGTCAGCGGGCCAGGATCAGAGGGATTGGCTGACTGATATGTCAATGGCCTCGAGTTGAGAAGAGCTTCAGCCCCGGATAGTGCAGTGACAAGCTCTTCATCGGTCACTTGAGCATCTCCGAGGATACGTCGAAGAGCCTTCTTGGCCGCCTTGATCATAATCTCATGAACTCCGCCGAAATGCGGTGCTAGCGGTGGGTTGAAGGTCCACTTTATCCGCTGACTGGCCATGGTCTTCTTCACCTTGTCGTTGTACACATCTTCTCTCAGCTGCCGATCTGCACTGACAAAGTTGCCGCCATTGTCCGAGATGACCTCAAATGGCCGTCCTCTACGATTGACCATACGGCTGAAGGCGTTCAGAAACGAATTAGCATCTAAGGCATACGCCATTTCGAGGTGAACAGCTCGTGAGAGTAGACAAGTAAACAGACACACATACCGCTTGCGTCGCTGCTTGCCCCGACCTTGGACGGTCTCAAATGGGCCTCCGTAGTCCACTGAAACTCTGGCAAAGGCCCTCAGCGGCGTGCTGAGTCGAATTGCTGGCAATGGTGCCATCTGTTGCTCTGCTGGACGAGCCTTGTGTCTACGGCACACCATGCATTTCTTCTCCCACTCTCGGATCTCCTCTCGGGCTGCTTCCACCAGGTATCCTTGCGACAATTCCGCCAAGGTTTCGTTGGTACCGCCGTGCTGACGCTGCTCGTGAAAGTGCTTCACAATGAGGCCTGTCACTGGATGCCGCCTCGGCAGGATGACCGGGAACCGTGTGTCGTACGGAATCCAATCAGCTAGTCCGGTTCGGCCATCACATCGTACTAAACCGTCAGCATCGAGTCTCGGGCTCAGCTTGGCAAGCCTCGAGCTACTCGGCAGTTGCTTTCGGTCACGTAACAGCTTGATGTCGGGCCCATATGCTTCGCTCTGAGCTACATGGGTGATGAACTTCTCGGCGTCTGCAATCTCGTCAGCTGTCAGTTCACCAGCCAAACGACCTTCCTTGCGGCAGTTGTTGATGAAGCGGCTGACCCAAGCTTGCACTCGAACAAGCTTCGTCCAACTAGAGAAACGGAATGGCTGCACTGCTGGCTGATGTACCGTGATAAACGAGCTCTCCTGCGTGGCTTTTCGGATCTCATCCACCGCTGGGCTGCATTGCTCGTTAACTGGCATCTCTGGCCAATCTTCTTCCCTGGTCAGAAACGCCGGCCCTTGCCACCATAGGCTAGCATGTGCTAACTTCTCAACACTCATGCCACGAGACAGAATGTCAGCTGGGTTCGACTTCGACGGCACATAACGCCACTGTCTTGGAGCTGTACTTTCTTGAATGGTGCCGACTCGGTTGGCCACAAATGGCTTGAATCGCCGGCTGTAGCTCCGGATCCACTGAAGCACGGTGCAACTGTCGCTCCAGAAGATTGCTGTGCTGATGTCCAACTGCAAGACACGGGTCGTCGTCAAGGCTGCTCGGAGTCCCACCATGGCAGCCATTAACTCTAGACGTGGAATGCTGACCGCTTTCGTTGGTGCTACACGGCTCTTTGACATGATGAAGCGGCACGCCGACGTCCCGTCATGACGTGTGGTGCGAGCATAGATGACTGCACCATAGGCTGTACTCGATGCATTACAGAAGATATGCAGCTGAATCTTACTGTCTGTAGAAGCAGCTAGGCACCGTTGCACCTTGATCTCGTCGAGATGGCACAGTTCTGAAAACCACTGCTGTGCGCTCTCTGCTATCTCCGACGGAGCCGGCTCGTCCCAGTCTGTGCCTGCAATCCAGCAGTCTTGCAGTAGCGTCTTGGCTCGAATGATGAACGGCGAGATGAAGCCCAATGGGTCGAAGACTGTGGCTATCTTCCGCAGTAGGGCTCTCTTCGTCATTCCATCTGGGAACTCCGGTGCTGTGTAGTGAAACGTGAAGTGATCTTCGGCTGCCTTCCATGCCACTCCCAGGGTTTTCACTGCTGGCAGTTCTGTTGACGACAATTCGATCTGCGAGGCGCGATCTTCGGTTGGAATATTGGCCAGGACAGTTGCGGAGTTCGAAATCCACTTCCGAGGCCGCATCTTTGCCATACCCCAGAGCTCACGGAGCTCTCGATACAGCTTACGCCCGTCTTCCTCACAGTCAACACTATCCATGGTGTCGTCCATGTACGTCGATGCCAGGATTGCATCCGCTGCCAGAGGGTGCGTAACTGCATGCTCTCGCGCTGTTTGCTGCGCCACATATTGAGCTAGGAACGGCGATGCATTGATCCCGAAGACGAGGCGATTGAACTCGTAGTGCTGCACATCAGCGTCTGGCCTGTCCCGCCACAGAAAGCGATGATACGGCTTGTCTTCCGGTGCTAATGCCACTTGTAGGTACTTCTCAGAGATGTCGCATCCGATCGCAACTGGTTTTCTTCTAAACCTTGTCAGGACGTCACAGAGGTCTCGTTGCAGCCTTGGCCCCGGGTTGATTGCATCATTCAGACTCAGTCCACGGTAGTTAGCTGCTGCGTCGAATACTATGCGAACTTTTGTTGTGGTCTTCTGCGGCCTTACGATTGCGAAGTGTGGCAGATACCAGCACTGATCTTGTTCCGTTTCTGCTGCACCAAGCTCCCGGATGTAGCCTTTGTCCTCGTAGCTCTTCAGCACATCTCGGTAGGCCGCTGCAACTGTGCTATCTTTTTGCAGGCGGCGTTCTGTGCTTGTCAGCCGTTTCCTGGCCATCACAATGTTATTCGTGAGCTCAACTTTCCTGCTGTTCCATGGTATGCTAACCTGGTATCGTCCATCCACCATCTGTATAGCCCGCTGCACTGTCTTGAGCACGCTCTCATCCTCGGCTGATCGTATGCCAGGCTCTTGAAGCCCATCACTCATGCCGTAGCGCTCTACCTCCCAGAAACGCTGTAGCGTTGCCTCAAGTGATGTCACAAATGGGCCGCCGTAACACAGGAAAGACTGGCCGTGTAAGGCCTCTTGGTGCGAGTCTGTGTCCGCTGCATGTACTTTGCCAACGCATGTCCATCCCAGCGGTGTTTGACGTGCTATTGGTTGTCCGGGAGCGCCACTAATGTCTCGACGGGACATCATTAGCTCTGCATTGTCGCTTCCAATCAACAGTTCGATGACGTTGGGCTTGCGCAGTGCCGGGAAGGGAATATCCCGGAGGTGACCATACTTCTCAGCCTCGTGCGACCAGTCCACAGGCTGTAGGTCCCCGGTTACGTTCGTTGTGGTGAACGCTGCCACCGATTGCTGATACGAGTTATCCATACTAGCGATGGTAAAGCTGACCGGTGCTGTCATGAAGGTCTCCACCTTCCCATTCAATGTACTGACTGTTGACTGTCGCAGAGTTCCACTGATACCGAGCTGGCCAGCCACGGCTGCGTTGATGTAGCTGGTTGTACTAGCATCGTCCAGTAAGGCATTCACCGTGACTGCCTGTGGGCCGTTGCGTAACATCACTGGCACAATCCGTAGTGCCACCTTGCTATACGAGTGAGCTGCCATTGTCGCTCCAGCTGTTTGCTCCCCCTCGGTAACAGCCTGCACTGCGTGACAAGAACCATCTACTTCGCCTGTCCGGTTCTTACTCTCGGCATTACTGGGTGTATCCTTGGCTTGGCCACTAGACGGCGTGCCTTTCTGCGCACCACCCTTCGTAGCGTGGAGGAGACGATGATGATTATCCTGGCAGCCGTTTACTCCACATGTCCAACCACGCTTGCATTCACCACCTCGGTGTCCAAATGCCAAGCAGCGATAGCAGAGATTTGCTCGCCGGGCCTCAGTCCATCTCTGTACGTTGTCCATCTTCAGGAATGCCTTGCACCGCCAGATACCGTGCTCTCCTTCGCAAGTGGGGCACTTCGGCGACTTCTGCGGTTTCTGCGGGGTTGAGCTTGTGCTGAAACTGGCATAGGTCCTGGCCTTTTCACTGTTGCCGCTGGCATTCGTGGTCGGCTTGCTCCATCTGGGTTGCCGGGACCGCGTCATCCCTCGTACTGTCTCGGTTGCCGTTACGAGGAACTCCGCCTCTTGGGTAGCCCACTCTAGCAGAGCGAGAACCGACTCTTGCTTCCGTTGCTCAAATAGCCACCGCTGATATTGGGCGACGAGCTTCTCAGACAGCTTCCGTAGCAGGTTCATGTAGAATGTTCCGGCCTGAAGCTCAGCGAAATGACCAGCATCTTGCAGATTCACTGTAGCGACTTCCAGTAAATCTGCGAAGCGTTCAAGCTCCCTGGGGTCGTCTCCGGAGATGCCGGTAAACCGAGCCAGCTCCTCCACATACATTGCGACTTGACGGCGCTTGCCGCCGAACTTCTTCTCTAGCCGTGCCTTGGCTGTATCATAGCCTCTCTGCGTGTAGCCTAGATTGGCGACGGCTTGCAACGCGTCCCCGCCCAGAAACTGCTTCATCTGGAGGAACTTGTACTCTGGAGTAGCCGGTGACGAATCAACACAGGCAATGAAGGACGCCTTCCACTCTTCATACCTCCTCTTGTCTCCTGTGAAAGTTTCTATCGATACTCTCTTCATCTGCGTCCATGGCTCATGTCCAGGCGGTGGAGCAAACGCTGGTGGCGGTGGTCTTGCCCTGGGCATGGCAGCCTGAAAGTGCTGATGGCCTCCAAACTGCGAACTAGACGCTGCAGGCTGTAGGACTGGAGCGCTACCTGCATAGGGTTGACTAGTAGTACTGGCACTGACTGCTGACACCGGTGCACGTAGGCTGTGGCTTGTCCAAGACGCAGCCGCGGGTACGCTCGTTCGACTACTAGTACTACTTGGAAGGTTCGGAACTGACGCTGGCGCGCTGGCTGTGGTCAGTGTAGGCGCTCTAGCACTGATGCTAGTGGCTGTGATCGATGGCGATCTTCCGGAAGCGAGTACCGTGGTTGTCGAACTATTGACTATGTTTGCACTCACCGTTGAGGGCACTGACGCTGCTGATGCAGCTCCGCTAGCCTTCGAAGCTAGCAGTGATGTTTGGCTCGCGATGTCCGTTGCTCCTTGGCTGTAGCTGGCGAAACCCTGGTGTTGGCCAAGTGACTCGGCGCGCGTGTCTCGAGTCTCCGAGTCGGGGGAGTCCGAGTGCGCTGCGAATGACTGACGCATCCATGGATCTTCTTCCTGCAGCGCAGCTAGTGGTCTCTCCCGATATCTGTACCCAGGCCACGAGGCCACAGGCATCTGTCTTCCTCGCACTCCGCCAAAGGCTCCGAAGCCTCCGATACCGCTGAGAAAGCTGGCCTCCTCAGGTTCAGCGCTCTGCTGCCAATCACCTAGAGCGCTCATCGCGAGTCCTCCGCCAGTGCTAGATTCCGGCGCGTATCTAGGACTAGTTGCACTGGCCGAGTCCCAGGGCCAGGTCCGTGTGTGACCTCTACGACTACGAGTAGATCTATCACTCTCAGTAAATCCTCGCTGGCTGGATACTGCATCACTTCCTTGTTGCGCCTGAGTGACTTCCTGATCGCCTCCGGTCCCGTACGAAGGCACAGGCAGATCCTCAACTGCGGCACTGTACTCGGCTTGTAGCGTTTCCAGTTCTGCTATCAGCAGTAGCTTCTCCTTGACATCGCTGGTGATGTTCAATAATTCGTCGATGACTGCCGCGACCTCCTCCATGCAGCCTTGTAGACGCGACTGTTCCGCTTCTACGTCCTCAATCTGCCCATTATGTGCGCCTACTAACAGCGCCCTCCTTGCATTGGTGAAGTGTCCCTTTGCTTGCGCCTTCCGTTTGCGCAACACGACAATGCTCTCATCTGTTGCCACAGAATCCGATTGCTGAGGCGTACCGCCGCGCTGTTGCGACTCTCCTACCGCGTCTTCCGCGCTACTCTCGACTCTTGTGTCAACGTCCTCCATCTTCGATATCGAAACTCACTACAACTGTCGACTCACTTTGACACTACTGGAAAACCATCCTCTGCTACCATGCGACCATGTTATGGAGGATCACGAGATCCGCCGAATCCGCTATCGGCAATCCACAACAACAAGGCCTCGGAGTGATGGAGAACGCCCCTTCTATTCAGTTTCGAACTGCTACTAATGTCCCTGTAGACACTCATACAACACACGCCTTTCGATAGGTGTTGTTCTTCGATCTTTTCACACAAGTACGAGAAATAAACGTAACACTGACTCTAGCAACAACTGCAAGAAAACTGAATGCTTCATCGCATCATCATCTCTCTCTCATCTGATGGAATAATGGGAGCGCAGCGATTCTTATGGTAGGTTGAAAGCACACAGCCAGCGCATCAGGAGCCAAACACAGACGAAAGGAAACAATTGGAATAAACAATACAGTGAACAATTCCGCTGCATGGTTAACAAAGAATAACCGCAGCTAACCGCTCAGACAATCACCGGGTGGTCACCGTCTGAGGCACGTCAATGCACAAAGGTAAAAACGGCCAATATTGCAGAAGTATTCAATATGGCAGGAAACTACTACTAACCAACTCTCCGTCCGTGTCCAAACACCTACATTTAGAAGCTACCTGGAATACTGTGGCTGTGCTATTATTAGAATACATACTGGATGACAATGCACAACAGAAACTAGCAGTGTCCTCCTGAACACTGCATACTTTGCTCAGGTTGCTGCTGCTGCTGCTGGTGGGGGTGGTGGTGGTGTGCTGCTGTTGCTGGTGGTGGTGGTGGTGGTGGCGGTGTGCTGCTGCTGGTGGTGGTGGTGGTGGTGGTGGTGGTGGTGTGCTGCTGTTGCTGGTGGTGGTGGTGGTGGTGGCTGTGTGCTGCTGCTGGTGGTGGTGGTGGTGGTGGTGGTGGTGTGCAGCTGTTGCTGGTGGTGGTGGTGGTGGTGGCGGTGTGCTGCTGCTGGTGGTGGTGGTGTGCTGCTGTTGCTGGTGGTGGTAGTGGTGGTGGTGGTGGTGGTGTGCTGCTGTTGCTGGTGGTGGTGGTGGTGGTGGCGGTGTGCTGTTGTTGCTGGTGGTGGTGGTGGTGGTAGTGTGCTGCTGTTGCTGCTGGTAGTGGTGGTGTGCTGTTGCTGCTGCTGGTGGTGGTGGTGTGCTGCTGCTGGTGGTGGTGGTGGTGCTGCTGATGTTACTGCTGATGCTGTGATGCTGTTGATGATACTGATGCTGTTGCTGCTGTTGCTGATGTTTGTTGCTGGTGTGCGTGTGTGCATGTGTGTGTGTGTGTGTGTGTGTGTGTGTGTGTGTGTGTGTGTGTGTGTGTGTGTGTGTGTGTGTGTGTGTGCACAGGCTCAAATGAAGGAGGTCTATCAAGAGCTGGAGGAGTCCCGTACCGGCCGCGATGCAGCACTGCAGCTGTCCCGTGAAGCCGAGAAGAAACTCAAGGTTCTAGAGTCGGATGTCACACGCCTTACTGAGGTCAGTAGCCAGTGATAGGTCCACCGTCTGTTTTCTTGTATTCTGGTTTCCACTTCATCCCGTGCTGGCAACATTGTGTAGACAGCCTACTTTGCAGATACTTTCTCGTTGTGACTTAACATTGATATTTGCTTTTATCTCTCCTTTCTCTCTCTCTCTCTCTCTCTCTCTCTCTCTTTCTCTCTCTCTCTCTCTCTCTCTCTCTCTCTCTCTCTCTCTCTCTCTCTCTCTCTCTCTCTCTCTCTCTCTCTCTCTCTCTCTCTCTCTCTCTCTCTCTCTCTCTCTCTCTCTCTCTCTCTCTCTCTCTCTCTCTCTCTCTCTCTCTCTCTCTCTCTCTCTCTCTCTCTCTCTCTCTCTCTCTCTCTCTCTCTCTCTCTCTCTCTCTCTCTCGCTGCCTCTGCCACTGACAGGAACTGATGTCGGCCGATAGAGCCCGACGTAAACGCCGAGGCAGAGCGTGATGAGCTGTACGACGAGGCACGCGGTAACAATCCACGCCTGCAGTCGCTGAGCAAGGAGAAGAGAAAGCTAGAGTAGGCTATTGTGCAACTGGAGGAAGACTTGGAGGAAGAACAAGCCAACACAGAAATGTACATGGAGAAGTCCAGGAAGTCACAGTCTCTGGTAACTAGAGAAACTGTGTAGAATGATAGGCGTTTACATCATTTTTATGGTACAATGTGCCTCGCGTGTGTGTGACTTGCGATGTTTGCACGGGGTGGCACCGCATGGCACTCGTTTGTACAGGATCAAATTTCGGTGTCGCGGATCTAACAGGTTTCAGGTGCAATGCAGAATTAGGTAGGGGTCAAACGGGTGTACCGGGTACCCGGGTACCCGCCCGTTAATCTCAGGTACCGTTAGTAAAGGGGTACCCGTTTGTAAAAAAAAAAAAAAAAAAAAAGGTGATCCTATCGTATTCCAAGACTAAAAAAAAATAGGAGTGCGGATATTCTTTTCCTTTTTCCTGTGCATTCTCGCTTTCGACTTTATCAGGCAGGAGCAGGCTGAAAGACAGACTTGACAGTTGTTCTCTCCACTCTAGTGCAAGTAAAAATCCTCGTACTGGAGGTTTTTGATTGTGATGTGAGAAAATGCAAGACTTGAAACTCGTTCGAGGTGGCAGCTGAGTAACTAGAAAGTTACGATGGTTCTCCGACATCGAACCTGCCACAGTACTTGATGAACTAGTGTCACCAGGCCGAGTGTCACAAACGGTGATGTCCGTAGGTGGTAGCTATATGTATGATACTCATGGTTGTAGTTTGTTCCTTCAATCGACGAGCTGAAAAGTAGTTCGAAATATTGCATTCAAGATTACGGATTTGTGAAGATTCATTTCACGAGTTCAACAAGCTAGCACTAGCAGCTAGCTGGCCAGCAGCACATCAGCTGTGTCAGGCACCCCAGCTAGCTATGGGCGCGAACAATCGGAACATCTTCTGAATGCAACGAGTACCAGTTCTCTGCGAGCATAGCAAATAGGATTGCGCGAGATCACGGAAGTTTTGCTAAACCACTCTGTCCTTGCATGGCTTGAATCACATCGATCTGCAGTTGATTTGCGTACATGTATCAAAATACATGTAGCTTGAAGGACCATCTACATGTACGATTGTAAGTTACTGCCTTTGAAGTTATGTACATGGGCAAATGCACGGATGACATTCATTTGGAACCTTCATTGCCATAATAATATTATGATACACGAATCAATTGCGAATCATAATGTATCAAAATACAACCTGAGAATATACAAATTAAAATCATGATTTATGTGAGAAATGCGCAAAAAAATAATATGGCTGCTAAAGGGTACCCGTTAACCCGCCCGTTAAGAAAATTACCCGTTCGTTAGTTAAAGGTACACCCGTTTGACCCCTAGAATTAGGTGACCAGCATTCCCTGCACATACAGTTCCTACTCCAGTGCTTTTTAGCTGCTATCTAAATTTAAGTGCCTGGTTTCTCTACGGAAATTAAAGTTACACCGAAAACAACATGTTATACTATACCTGGTGCATGCTGCAGATGTTGCGCATGCAGTAAGTGGTCTGCGTACCGTGATTGGAATTTGTTATGGGTGGGGATGCTTTGGTACTCCACGGTCACCCCAGCTATGCCACAGATAGCGATTCCTGTGTGTGTGCGTGTGTGTGTGTGCATGTGTGTGTGAGTGTGTGTGTGTGTGTGTGTGTGCGTGTGTGTTACACACAGCTTGAATGGACCCAAGTTGAGATGAGCGCACTCAAGGAGGAGATTGGCACACTGGAGCACAGTAACGCAACTCTGGACAGACAGGTACTAAGCGTTGCTATCGTGCAGGCAATACGTGTGCTTAGCAGCTGTTGTGTCATGTACTGACATACGGAAGTGGTTTATTTTACAGACAGATGAGTGTAGATATAGTGAAGATTCAGGGAGGCCATGCCCAGCAGAGCGTGGTATCGTGCGTAGCACGGGGGTAGTGCGAGGTCACGTACCGTCTTTATATGGCGACAGACAGGGGAAGGACAATGTCGTGAATGGGTGAAAGGATAACATGATACAGGATAGGACAGCAGCCACACCAGCATGTACAGAGTACTGGTCTTAATGGGGATATTTTGTACATGTACATGTAGATCTAAATAATAAGTATGGTTGCAGCGCGTAGCTCGCATGGGGCACGGGGGGAGACACATGCACCCCCTGAAATTCCCAACCCAGGTGCAGCACGCGCATGTTGACCATGAATGTCATGCACCAGCCATCCTACACATCCGTGCACCCCCCTAAAAGGGAGATCAGCTACGTCCCTGAGCGGCTGTGTGCGTTTGGACGCTCACGGCCATTCTTGGTCTGTTTAGTGTTGCCATGTTGAGAAGCAGGTCCAAGAATTTCTGCCTGTTTGTGGTGGCTTGTCTTTCTCTGCTTCTTTCAGACCAAGGATCTCAAGTCGAAATTGGAATCTGCGGAGAATGAGCGTGGCTCACGTCTGAAGGGTCAAGTGCGCTCACTAGAGATGAAGATCTCCACACTGGAGGAGCAGATAGAAGTAGAATCGCGGTAAGTGTCACCAATGCCGAATTTCTCACGTGTACCTGTACGCATGCCGCCTGTACGCATGCCATCTGTAGGCAAGCCAGCGCTGTCCACCATTCAGACTACTGTATTGTCTTGTATTAAAGCCTGTCTCATATAGAAGCCTGTTTTGAATACAAGCCTGATTTTCAAGATGCATTGTCGGCACATAAGCCTGGTTTTAGTGTTGACACACATAGAAAGTTAGAAACACCAGGTTTGAATAGAAGCCTAGCCCTGACATCGGTTTCTACAGGAATAAGCCCGGCCTTGATACGCGACATGACGGTATGCGCACCGGTTTCTCCGTTGTCTGAGTCTCTTCCACGGGATACTGCAGTTCTTCAGTGCTGAGCTCAATGAAGTCCGGTTGTCCGAGTCAAGTTGCCCCCCCCCCCCCACACACATTCCACTTTCGATGTTGTGCGTAGTTTGAATTGCCAGGCCTGTGATTTGCTTGCGTGTCAAGGTTTGCTGCATGCTGTAAAACCAAAACGATTCGGTGGTGTAACATTTTCGGCTTACCCCAGAATCGGGGTTTCAGTAGCGTTTATTCTTCAGTATCGGTCAGTTTGGCTTGCTTCCATGCATGCTGGTGGGTACAGTCAGACCTCTCTTATCCGGTCCTCTTTTATCCGCATCCCTCGCCATCCGGAAGAAAATAGCTGGCTGCAGATTTACAGCATATGTGATGCATCCAACATAACCGGTGTTCGGTTATCCGGTTCCCTCACCTATCCGGATATTTTTTTTATCCGGAAAACAGATGTGAGCGGTTAAATGAGGTCGGGCTGTATTGTACTGATAGCACTACCTGGTGGTATTATTTTTTTAGGTATAGTTTTGCTGCACCTGTGTTACCAAAAAATGAAAACTCCACTGAAAATGTCTTTAGTTCCATATTTCCACAGATGATCGTAGCTTGAAAATCGATTCTGGATAAACACAATTTCAAATCTAGAACAAATTGTCATGTTGCGTAGTGATGTCTGCTGCATTCATACTTTTCGTAGCTATTATTGAACTTTTATCTCCATGTAGATTATTTGAAAAATTTCTGGTGTTGCAGTATTAGCGCTTTGTCGGTTGAGGTAGACACCTTGTCTAGTATCGTCTTTGCTGGTGTACTTACCTACTTTGTGTCGCATTGTTCTTGGCGTTTGCAATGGACGTGTGTGTGTGTGTGTGTGTGTGTGTGTGTGTGAGTGTGTGTGTGTGTGTGTGTGTGTGTGTGTGTGTGTGTGTGTGTGTGCGTGTGCATGTGTGTGTGTGTGTGTGTGTGTGTGTGTGTGTGTGTGTGTATGTGTATGCATGTGTGCGTGCTCACAGGAGGAAGAGGCGTCGCGCCTGACGCAGTCGCGTCGGAAGCTGCAACGGGAGCTCGACGAGGCCACCGAGACGTTCAACTCTGTGCAGTCTGAGCTGACACAGTTACAGAGGGGTGTCCGTACCGGCATGCCCCGCAGCTACTCAACCAGGAAGCGCAAGTCAGAACAGGTCGGGGAATCCGATGATCTCGGCGACGACTGAATGAATTCTTGACATCACTTCGAGTAATGATTTTACTACTTGACCCGTGGATTCTGAGCTAGTACTGTGAGTTGCTCTGAGCAGTGTGCAATCGGTGTAGACCTGATGCTGAGGGTGATGTGAGAGGTTAGAGTCAGTTCCTCTGCTTGCCTGCTTGCCCGCTGGTCAGTGAGAAAGGTGGGCTCTGTGCAGGGTTGCTGAGTGTCGTGCAACTCATGCCTACGTCTTCGTCGTGAAGGATGGCCAGTGGCAGGGATCCATGTGTGTGTGTGTGTGTGTGTGTGTGTGTGTGTGTGTGTGTGTGCGTGCGTGCGTGCGTGCGCCATTTTTGAGAGTAGAGAATTTGCAGCATCTACGTGCCGGCCGGTGATCGGTTAGAAACAAACGTTGGGCCATAATCAACCGTGATATCACAATACTCATCCCCCACCACTCCCCAAGCTGTGTGTCCTGTCCTGTGATGCTTATCTATGTACCATGGCACGGCACCCCCCCCCCCCTCCCTCCCCGCCATGCACTGCTGTTGCGGAGCGGTCTGCCCTTCGCATTTCTCATCACGCCCTGCCGTATGCTTGTTGGTTGAGATGAACGCCAAGAGTTGCAATGCTTCAGCTTTCCTTCATCCTGTCGTCTCATTTTGACACTAGGACTCTTTTCTGTACTTCTTTACTTCTGCAGTTCTTGTTTTTTTGCGCTTGCCAGCTGTTTTTAATTTATTTTATCGCCTTGAGTATGTCTAGCATCGGCCCCCGGTGCGTTTTGAGTCTCTTTGCTTCTATCAGCGTGTGTGTGTGTGTGTGTGTGTGTGTGTGTGTTTGTTCGCGTGCACGTGTGTGCTTGTGTAAGTGTTCTAAAACTTTTGAAAGGTTTTTCATTGTGCTACTACAGTGGTTCAAGCAGGTCGATGCTTGCGCCCTTTGCCAACCTGGGCTGTATCAGACTGCATGTTCTCACAGCTATGCACACTCGCGTACCCGAACACTTGGCAAAAGTATTCTACCCTGCACTGCCCTTGCCCGCTTTAGCTTTTCATCTGTTTTTTAAAATTCCTTTCCCTTCCTCTTTTTCGTTTTTTACAGAATATTTGCTGCAGTGCTTTCTTGTTCCTGCTCTCTCCTGGTTGTACCTTTTCGTTGGTGATAATTATTTGTTTTCTTGTGTCCCGATCGCAGGCAGAGCCATGTAATGTGTGAGCAGCAGAAGAGTGATAATGCCTCTGAGTTCACTTGTGACGTTGTCGCGAGCAGCCCCAACGCTCCGTGTAGATCAAAACTTTTTTCTTATTTTGTTTTACTGCCGTGGTTATCGTGTAAAGTAGGTTTTCATGAATTTCAGTGCTGTTGTTGGCTAGTTGTGAGTGAGAGGACCTATAGGATGTGCTATTTCAAGTGCTTGTGTCGCGCTTTTACCTGTTCTTCTTCCGTACATTTGTATCAGTTTTTTGTTGTTGTTGTTGTTGTAAATCTAAGGCCCTTGGTGACCTGTGACTGCTGTGAGTATGTGTTTCAGCTTGTGCTTTTAATGATTTTTGAGATTGACAGTTGTCACTGGACATGATGTGTGCAAGCACACGTGTGTGTGTTGTGTGTGCGTACGTGCGTGTGTGTGTGTGTGTGCGTACGTGTGTGTGACGTTGTATATCATGTGTATTATGCTATGCACATAACGTTACGTGTGAGGAAGGATAATCCCCCCCCCCCCCCGTGCTGAATTTGCAACAATTATAATAATAAATATTATACCTTTACACGTGCTATTTGGCACGGAAGGGTTTCCCAGCGTGAGTTCCCACCCACCCATTCCCATAGAGTATGACATGGTCATCCCCTGCACCTTCAGTTCAGGGCAGCGTCAAGGTTTAGCACCGAGCCGGATGACGCTATATTGCTACTGTAGTCTGTAGTCTGTAGAGAGAGTGCAGTGCCAGTGGCAGTGGTGTAGTACCGATGTGCAATAATATTTTCATCCTGCATACATAATGATATGACACAAATACACATCATGTGACATGACTGATATGAATGCAGGATGAAAATATTCCGTATTATCATGTAGATCTAGATCTGTTTTAGTACAATGTCATGTACTCCTGCTATCATGACCAGGATGGCAGGAATGCAGGGCAGGATGACTGTAACTGTGTAAGATAGTTAGATCTCAGTGGCAGGGCTCTGGGGGAGGGGGGGGGGGGCATGCTCTAGTGATACCCGTGACCTGGTGACAGGCACAAAAAATGGGAAACAGTTCTTGCTTTTCTCACATAATCATTGAAGTTTATTGATCTTGTCAGAAAATAGGGAAGCTAGAATAGTCGTTAGCGATGATGCTCAAGCATCAGTTTATTCTTCCCTCTTTTTACTGCATTCAGCGAGCACCTGATGTAAGTGTGCAGTGAACGGGGCTGTGAGTGCTTGTGAGCTTCGCACTACTACTACTAGTATTTTTTCCGCGAGCCAGATGCCGAAACATTTCGTCGTGAATGAATGGTGGAAAGGATAATTATTTTGCCGAACTACGAGCACTGTGGTGTAGTGGTGGGTACTCGGTCGAACCATTCGGCATTCCGTAGCGGACGTGGACGGATTTTGCCACGGAGTCACAGCTCGACGACCACTAACCTGTGTACATAATCATTGCTGTCTTGCCGGCCAATGGGTTTGCCTTCGACAACATTCTGTTCCGGGCGCTCGTTCTCCAGTATGCAGAGAGACCCGGACAAAGCCGCGCAATTATCCCCAGTAAGTACTCATCGTGACCCACTTCTTTGTTTGATATTAGAGAGGTTCCGGGGTACGATTTTCCGTGCCAAAATCCGTATGGGCGCTACGGATTTTTTCCAGGCGTGCTCCATACGATTTTTCGGCACGAGAATCCGTGTGGACTGGCTTTCATACGAACCATGCTTCGTATGGAGATTTTGCGTCATCAGGTGCAGAAAGATTTTTCGCGTACAAATTTGGTACGAGAAACATCGATTTTTCGCGGGAAGTTTTGATTTCGGTACAAATTTTCAAAATAAAAAGGCATAGCGCGGGAATGTGACGTGTTTGCGATCGTAACCTAGGCAATGACGGCAAACACATAAGTTCCGTACCCCGGAACTTTTCACTGCTCGAAAACGACGTATAAAAAATCCGTAGAGCCTCCACGGATTTTGGCACGAAAAATCGTACTCCGGAACCTCCCTAATGATCCACCGCGCGCTGCTTGTCAACAATCACAATGTGCAGTACGAAAGTTAATGGTATTAGACTACCGTAGAATCCCGCGGATAAGCCCATGGGCTTATCTGTTTCACAAGGACATTTCGGTGGGCTTATACGAGAACATGGGCTTATACGCGGGCATGGGCTTATACGCTGACACCAACATTGTGCTATTGAAAAGTGCCAATGAAGTGAGAAGTACATTGCTGAAAGCCACTGTGCAAACAAAAACAACCGATGATTGTGTTGAAATGTACAAAAAACCGAAAAAAAAACCCTAAACATGTCGTACTACGTACATGTACAATCATCATACATGTACATGGTAGGACCAAGAGTCCATGATTTATGGACTCATGGTACAATTTAGGCCCATGGGCTTGTACGACGAAGCCTTGTGATGTTCGAACTTTCCCTGGGCTTATGCGCGGGCATGGGCTTATACGCGGGTGGGCTTATCCGCGGGATTCTACGGTATTACAGGCTCTGCCCTATATGGGTCAGGGAATATTTTACTTTCAATTTTTTGCATAGCACCTTTGCTATGCAAAATCAAACTTCAATGGCAATTCGAAAATGTTGCATAGTTATTTTCTTCAACACCTACAGTTGTCGCAAACCTAATCTGGTGCCAAAAATACGTAGATAAGCACTTTCGAAGTCTAGTTTTGCGCATCAATCTCATCCCTAAGAGACACACCTGAAATGCACACTGTACATCATTCGCTGCAGTGAAAAATCAACATGCATCGCAGTTATCTGCGACACATTTCTGAAGTTGCTTTGCACCTCAGAAGAATTGCATAGCAAACTGCGATGCGACAGTATGTATATGATACAACCCAACAGTACGCTTGTACGTGAAGTATAAACCCACATACTACCACTACAGTCCGTTTCAAAAAGATTTGCAATCCTGGCGATCGCCCGCGGAGTTTGGCGTCTTACCGTATGAGCACTTGAGCGCTGCCTGGAAAAACTCACTGTGAACTCGAAGAAATATTCCGCGCGAAAGCAGGAAAAATGACAACTCACTCACGTTGATACAGTCATGTACGTCTGGTTTACAACATGTTAACAAACGAGTTCTTCCTCGTATCGATAATGGAGTCAGAGAGGACATGTCGAAACGAAAGTGTTGTAAATGTTGACGAGCGGCATGAGTCCCAATTCGTTTTGTGACCAAAATAGTTTCTTTGAGCTGCGATGCAATTTACTCACCGTATGACGAAAACGACATCGACACGGACTCATTCCCAAGCCCATGACTTGGCAAAGCTATCCGTGTGACTTCGACGACATTTTGAGAAAAGCAGACGCTTGTGAACTCTGATAGAAGGCGGCGCGGCGTTGACTGCTAAATTCAAATAAATTGGCGATCTTGAAATACGAAAATAAATCTCAAAAAGCTACAGCGCGATGACTTCCATTATAATTCACTCACACCATTGCAGTGTTGTGGGTGTGTTCACATGGCGTGAGCCAGTCAAGTGTCAGTCAGTTCGGCAGGAAGCGCGAGCTCCAACAACAAGTCGTTTAGTGCAGCCATCTTCTTTGTCTTGTACCAGCTTGATCACCAAAACAATGAAAAAAAGTTTGACTTGAGGAGAGGTTGGGATTTGAACTCACAACTTCATGGTCAGCAGACAGCATTCATAACCACAAGGCCAAAAAGGAAAGGATAAATCGTGGGTTTTGATAAACAATCGATACTGGCTACCTGGGCAAATTGTAAACCATGGGAAAAGGCCGGAAATCTGGCCGAAATTCTAACTCCTTAACGGTTGCTCCAATTGTTCCGAAACCTTCACAGAACAATTTGCCGTGTCCTAACAAGCCATTCTATGTACTTTGTTGTCCAAATTTCCATTATCTTCATACATTTTAAGACCCAAACCTGATTGTAAATCTTTTTGAAACAGACTATAGTGGGATGTATTATACTTATGCTGACCTTCATACAAACTGACAGTCAACTTCTTCCTGTTTCTAAAAAGGAGTTTGTATGCTGGTGGTCTATATGGGGTTTGTATGAGGTATGAGGTTTATATGCCCAATATAAACCACCTGCATGATGGGACAGTTGACTGGAAGTTTGTATGAAAGGTCAGCATAAAGTAGTATAGGATTTATTCATATTTCTCTAGGGCAGTCCCCACAGACCTATGGTCTCCTTACGCGGTAGAGGCGACGGTTCAATACCGGAACGGCTTGACAGCCAAATTTGTATAGACCCAAACCGATCATCAGCGTTGATTGTTCACTCGAAATATGTTTGTGGAAGGAAACTGGCATGTTGAAGTTTGCTCTGAGGCCAGAGTCAATCGAACTGAGCCACTCCTTTGTGTTGACCCATTGCCTCCAAGTTTCCCAATTTTTCGCTTCAAATCAGAGGTGGCTCCAAACCGGAAAGGTTTTGGAGTGCACGTCAAATTCACTCTGAGTTCTGAAATTAGGTAATTGCTATCGCTCCACGACGGCCAGTACAGAGCACCAATAAGCCTTGTGTGTGCTTCCATTAGTTTTGATTGGTATGCGGTGCTATATTGGCGAGAGGCGAGCCGCTGTTTACCTGGTAAAAGAAGCTGATTTTTCGAAAGTCGTAAAACTCAAGTCGCAGTGCGAAGCAACAAGTCAAAAACTCACCTGCTTGTTATTGCGCTTCTGGTCATCGCAGAGCCATGAAATTTTGGCTCGGAGTATAACACATCGTAGTCTCACTGTGACATATGTTTTCTAATCAAAATACCAAGAGAGAAAGTGAATATTGAGTCCGTTCCAGTTTGCAACCTATGTCCTATTTGAAACCGTCGCCTCTACCCACGGCTGTCCCATGCATGCGACGCGCGTTCATTCAATATGGCGGCCAAATTTTAATCTTTTTCATTTTTTACGCGACCTGGCCTAGTCGTATGTTTGCAATTTCGCTCGACTTCCATCTCAAACGGGCAAGGTCAACCGAAACCATGGGTGTTTGCCAGGTCATTTGATAGAGTTTAGAGCTTGGACTGGCCTTGCCTTCGACTGTGCCGCCGCTCGAGCGATCTTCTTGGGTTGCCCACGCGCTACGCATGGTTTCTTTCTCGACGTGGGTGCAATTATTTTTAGATCGTCGCTCGATTTCAAGGGCCATGGAATGCACTGCTACTGCCAGGGGCCCAAAATTCTCTGGAGCTCCACCGCTCAAAGACCGGGAGCCACACAGTGGGACAAACTGTTTGAAATGCAAGCCTTCCAAGCCTGGCAGGAAGTCCAAATGCAAAACACAAACGCAAGACAAACTTGCGGCATGGGAGAAAACGCGGGCCATCGCCCGCAAGCACGAGCACATGCACGCCGCCACCACTGACAGCAGCATCACCAACAAAACCTCGCCCCACCACACCAGTACCTGATCACTGGATAGTTGAGTCCGTTTGGTTTACGAATTCAAAAATGGCAGACAAAATAACAAAACTACAAGTAAAAACACGAGAATCGCATGGACCGAATCTGATGAGCAGCAGCACGTCACACCCGCATACCAAGCTTAGTAATAGTAGTACTTCAAAGTAGTAGTATAGTATTTATTCATATTTCTTGCTATTTTTTAGCTCTGTTAATGCCATTGAGCACTCCCAGCAGGTTTGGGAATCAACGGATTTTGTAAAACTCTTTCCTATGGACAGCTGAACAAGGGTGTAGTCTGTACAGAGTGTATACAAACCTGTTGGACACAACGGGCATTGCATTGTACTGCATGCTGGGGAGTTTTATGTCCCAATGCTCGTGACAAGGTTGCTACCCTCGTGCTCACGCTTTAGTTGCCGATTTGTTTTCACACTTCACTAACAAGCGTGAGCTGCAGTGTGGCGATCAAACCACCTTCTTATAGTTATCAACAAAGTCGCTGTGTGTGTGTGTGTGTGTGTGTGTGTGTGTGTGTGTGTATGTGTGTAAATGTACGTGCGCATACGTGTCAATATTGATTTTTCCTGCACAGGTGAACTCCTTTGAGCAAATGTGTGTCAACTTCACGAACGAGAAGCTGCGGCAGCTTTTCAACCATACCATGTTCATTCTGGAACAGGTTAGTAGAGAGAGAAAGAGAGACAGAGAGAGACAGAGAGAGACAGAGAGACAGAGACAGAGGCAGTGACAAAGAGAGAAAGAAAGAGAGAGACCATGCTTATCTCTGTGTATGCCTCAGGAATCACACTGATCCACGCAGAGATTTTGTCCAGATCAAGGTGTACTGTCCTCCGTGGTACGCTTTCCAACGGCCAAAGAGAGTTGGAAAGCTTGTGTCTTTGTGGGTAACCTGAACATTTGGGCTCATGCAAAATCGCACCGATTTTGGGATTTCCCCACAACTTTTTGCGTCCGCAAAAATGTTGTGCTGGACCGCATTCCTGTCACTTCGCAGTGGCTTTTCGTTGGTGCAGTTTGTATCCCACCCTCCCACCCCTGACTTCTGGGTGTGTGTTTATCGATATTATCGTATTGGTTTTTCTTATTGGCCATGTGGCTGTTGCAGATACGACTGCTTTTCTTTTTTAGTTAAAAACGTAGGGGTGGTGTGTGCGTCGTTGGCCATTGTATGGTTACATACAGCTTGTATGGTTACATACAGCTTCAGATTGTATGGCTAGTGACAGGGGGGTTGAGTCTGCAGGGGCAGAATACAGTGATTGAACTGAAGCTGGATGATGACCGTGTGGTGAGTGTGTGGGGGTTTCGAGATGCCGTCCTGGGGCAGGGATGTTGGTTCTTTAGCTTGGACGGGTGTTGTTACATTCATTGTAACATTTTGTCGTTTTCTGTGTGTTTTGCTGTGCGACTACAGTAGCAGCAGTAACTTGTGCTATTATCCTTATGATATCAGGCCCTATGCGTACAATTATTCAAAAAGAAAAAAAAAGAAAAAAGAAATATATCAGGAAGGAAATATAATAATATCAATAATAAAGCCATTGCCGAGCCACCGTGCTCACAGCAGAGACTTCTGTGTGTGTTATTGTTGTGAAGTGGACCACAAAGACACACTCATTTCACTTATGGCACAATTTGATTGCACTGCAACGCGTCCACACCAGCAAACCTGCACGCCCACTGCACGCCCACTGCACGCCCTGTACTATTTGCACGTTGCACGTTTTCTCTTATGTGTACATGCTGCCTAGCATTGTGGCTTCACACATTCTTGCTGTTTTGTAAATAATTATTGATACCGAGTGGTTATGCCATTGTGAGTGTGTGTACAGTTGTTGTTTGGCGCTCATCCACTTTTGTTCTAGGGACGCTACCGATGAGTTATCTCTAATGCTTTACACCTTTTCCTCTTTCCCTGTTTTTGCTTGTGTGTTCTCAGGAAGAGTACCGTTTGGAGGGTATTGAGTTGAACTTCATTGACTTTGGATTGGATCTGCAGCCTTGCATTGATCTCATTGAGAAGGTATGAGACCCTGGGAACAGTTTGTAAGGTGGAGATTTATATCCAGTGGCTGTCGTGTGTATATGTGTGAGTGTGTGTAGGGGTGGGGGTGGGGGTGTCACATTTGATAACTTTTAAAACAGAGCATGCCTGGCATGTACGTTGTGAAGTAGTAAATAGCACAGTATCAGGCATAATTCCCTTTGATATCTTGGACTTGAACTGTCGGTCTTGAAGGAGCGGTTCCTGTTTCCTGGTGTGGAGTACTGTTTGATTTTTTCTATCCAGGGGATTTGAACTTTGTTGTGCAGTAGAACCTGTTGTAGCTTATATCGTGGAATAGTGCGCACTTACACTTTCTCTCTCTCTCTCTCTCTCTCTCTCTCTCTCTCTCTCTCTTTGTCTTGCAGCTAATGGGAGTGCTATCTCTGCTGGACGAGGAATGCTGGTTCCCCAAAGCCACTGACAGGACGTTTGTCGAGAAGCTTCTACAGAAGCAGAAGAAGCACGACAAGATGTCCAAGCCAGATTTCCGCAGCAAGACTGACTTCACCGTGAATCATTATGCTGGCAAAGTGCAATACGTGGCTGAGAGCTGGCTGACCAAGAACATGGATCCACTCAATGACAATATCGTGCCCCTACTGCAGAACTGTGCTGATCCATTCTGTGCCAACCTATGGAAGGACACCTGTAAGTTGCTGATACTCGAGCTTGGGATGCTTTCACTGGTGATGATACTGCTATTGGTGATAATGCTGTCTAGCTGCATGTCTTGTATCGTCAATGTTGCTGCTGATGTGGGGTTAAGAGCATGCAGATGTGGTTTCGCTGGAATTGGTTTGCCTCGCATCACTGCCAGGGGCGTACATAGGGCGGTTCACGGGATGCCCAGGAACCAGTAAAAAAAATTCGATATGGGTACAGAGAATTGTTTGATCCAGGCCCAGCGCTAGTAATAGTATAGCGCTCACAGACTCACAGTGCAAGTGCATGCAGTGCATGTCTGGAGTCCGCCTGACGGTCCGAGGACGATGACTAGCCCAGGGCAGGTGTGAAAGTGGTGCTGGGAGTGTGACACAGCGTACTGAACTGGGCCATGGGTTCAACAAAGTCGCTACCGGTACCGGTAGTCTAGTTACATCGCCGGATTCCTCGACCCCAGAGTCGAATTTTCTTTTGGAGTTTGTTTTGACAAACTTGGTCGTGTTTTGACGATGCTTTCGCTTTGTGGAAAAGAAAAATGAAGCGTCGACATCCAAAGGGCCAGCGCTCTATTCAGAGCTATTTTGAGCTGAAGGCAAAGCGTGTAGCCAGTGCTAGTGGCGAAGGTCAAGCGGTAGTTGAGAATGCAGACGCACCTGACTTGCAAGTGAAGTATGCATGCAACGAGCAGCGCTGAGGAAGAAATGATCGGCGAAGCTGTAGAGCGACCGTTGTTGGAAGCTGCTGGATCATCCAAAACTTACTTCAATGACATGGGAGTGTGTTGGAAGGGAGATTCTGAAAGTCAACGTCCACAGTGGAATCCAGTCCCCCGAAATTTGCTGGACACGGAAAAGATTTCCGTCATCGACAATCATTGTGCGCCACCGCAGGCGAAGGATTTCATTTCCTGTGCGTGTCCAGATGGATGGCAAACAGCGCCACTTTCAACTATCCTTGTTGGAGGAGTTACCCTGGATAGTCTTTTGACAGGCATGCAATGGTGTCTTCTGCTTGCCCTGTGTGATGTTTGCTCCAGATGATTCGAAACTTAGGCAGCTTTCAAGACTGCATGCAATCGTCATGCTGAACAAAACATCCATAAAACGGGGAAACGTTCAGTCTTTTTAAAATCATAAATGCGTAGCAATGACATCGTCCAGCAGCTCGTGGATGTCAATTTCACCCAGTCTGAGGAGAATATGCAGAAATTCTGTGGGGTACGAAAAACGGCACTTCAATTGTGTGTAATGTTGGTTCATCAGTTGGCATGGGAACCACTCCTGGAGGCGAGCGGCGTACGCCCCTGACTGCTGTTATACCTGTGGCCGTGATGGTGGTAGTCGTGCTATTGCAGTTGGTGCTGGACTCTGTGTTTATTTAGCTACTGCTTTTGCCAGCATAAAGCACTGTCATTCTAGCATTGGCCGACTAATTGTTGGTTTTGCTTTGAGAATGACAATCGTCATGTCATGGCTATAGAATTCTTCAGTTCTTTCGGGTGAGCAGCTTGACAACCTACCCATGAGAGACTTGCTCAATTAGAACTGTGACACCTATTACCAGTTGTTGTTACCATGGTAATTGGTATTCTGGCCATTATCAAACCAAGTAGCAACATTATTTGAATGTGTGTTCATGCGTGGGTGGATGTGCGTCGGTGTGTGTGTGCGTGCCCTTGTGGTGGTGATTGTGTGTGTGTATGTGCGCTCATGCGCGCGTGTATGTGTGTGTGTGTGTGCGTGTATGTGTGTGTTCATGGTCTGTGTACGTTTGTATGCATATATGTTACAGCAAACATCACCAGTATTGCTAACATGGGCGATGATGATGCGGCGTGTACACGGCCTCGCAAGGGCATGTTCCGCACTGTCGTACAGCTCTACAAGGTACGCTAGAAGAACTTAGAACTCTCAGTTTTACTCCGCTCTGTCTGGGTGTGTCAGTGGTTTATAGCTGATTCTCACTCAAATCTTGTTTTTACTTCAGAAATCTATACTGATGCACATATACAGGTCATATTGTGACCATTGGCATACAGTCAGACCTCGCTTAACCGCACACGTCCGTTTTCCACAAAACATATCCGGATAGGCGAGGGAACCGGTTAACTGAACACTGTTTATGTTAGATGTATCACGTGTGCTGTAAATATGTAACCAGCTATTATCTAGCGGATGGCGAGGGATCCGGATAAAAAAGGACCGGATAAGCCAGATCTGACTGTATAACTTATAAGTAAAGGGAACCCAAGAAGTCACACCTCTCAATTTTCTCTTGAAAACGGCCCACCATCCATTCACACAGGGTTTGCATCATACATTTTTAAAAGCGCTTTTCAGACGGGTTAAATGTTCTTGACCAGGGAGTTGTACGACTCCTTGTTCTTGACCTGCCCGGTACGTGAACCCGTCGAATTAAAAAAAAAAATTTAATGTACAAAATGTACAAAATGAAGAGAGACTGATAGAATACCAAACAGGGGAAATAAATGGAGAATAAAAAGAAAAGAAAAGTAGCGAGGCATGTAGTGGCTTTTAGTGCTTCCCTTGTCACGAATGTTCATATGTACTTGGGGTGGATGACATGACTATTGTAGTTTTCTTCATCCTATCGCCTGTGTCTGAAGTGGTGAGACGTTGGGCAACACATCTACAGGGTACACACCGCTGATCTTGTTCTTGTGTCTGTGTGTTGGTTCAATGACATTTGCAATCTTGTTTGCGCTTGTCCTCTGTCATGTAGGAACAACTCCAGCGCCTAATGGAGACACTTCGAAACACCAATCCTAACTTTGTGCGCTGTATCATTCCCAATCACGAGAACAAGGTAAGGACGAAATGGGCACTTGTCTGTAGGCGCCTCATTCTGAATGCCACTTATTGCTATGTGATGCGCTGCATGCGACACCTGCGATGAGCTGCGACCGTGACGATTCACATCATCGTTTGGATGATCAATGTTTTGACAAACTGCATCCGTGTCTGTCTGTCCCTGTGTGAGTGTGCACGTGTATTCTTAACTTCACCCTTACCTGTTCGTGTGTGCACGTGCACCCGTGTATTCCTGTCCACGCAGTCCGGCAAGATTGTGCCGCCGTTGATCCTGGAGCAGCTGCGATGCAACGGAGTGCTGGAGGGCATACGTATCTGCCGCCAGGGCTTCCCTAGTCGTGTCCCGTTCCAGGAGTTCCGTTAGCGTTACGAGCTGCTCACGCCCAACCTGATACGGAAGGGCTTGATGGAGGGACGGCGGTCGGCTGTGATGATGGTGAGTCAAGGATTTATTGTACATGTAGAAACTCATATTACTGTCCGCTCACGTCAATTGTTGTTCTGACCAAACATACATATCAAATACAGGTCTACCCTCGTTATTATGACATTGGATGCACGACAAACCTAGCCAGTAGACAATAGAGAGGTTCTGTCCGCACTATGTAATGTTGAGCAACTTTACGTTAGTGGGCGGGAAAAACTCGTGAATTCGCGAGTTTGCACTCTACTTACGGAAAGTTGTCTACAGAGAGTACGTAGATAGGGCTCTGATAACGTAGGCGCTACGTAAGGCGAGACCAAAATAAAATCGTCATTCCCGGGCAGGACCCATGTGAAATTGGTGCAGGCGGGCGAATTTTTTATTTTTTGTTTTTTTCCAATGTATGCATGCCATGCCATGGGCCGGCCATGCTGAACTTTTTTTACAGTATTTTCCGGTAATTTTTATTACCTTTTTTACAGAAAACAGGTACGCGGTTTACCCATTCAATTTTTCTGTATTTCGGCCAACAATGGCCCTGATCTGTACATCAGTGAGTCGTACAAGCCCGTTGGTTTGTGTGACTCCACGTCACAAATCTACTCACATGATAAGTACCGTACAGTATATGAACTGTTAAAAAAAATTGGCTTTGGCTCGATTTTGGTGCGGGAGGGCCCGGGAATCTCTATTTTTTTTAGGGACAAATTTACGACTCTCTCCCCAGGTCGATTCGATCGTACACTGCTGCATTCAGAGTCGCCAAGGGCAGCTACGTGATTTGAAAGCACCGGATGACGGAACACAGATGCGCATGCAGTTTGCGTAAGACTTTCCGTAGATCGACTACGTTTTTTACTAACGTAATTGTTATGCGGAACCTCTCTAATGATTCAAAATGCCGACCCGAAACAAGCTTATTTTTAGTTTTGGCCTTACCATAATACCACCATAATGCACGACAGAAATGCGCACTTTGAGTAGTGCCAGCAGATGGATCTAGTCGGCGTGGGTTATTCTTTATCCTGGAGATTCTGATGTACTGGAAAAGTAGCATTCTTTTTATTTTCCAGTGGAAGCCTCAACAGTGGTGAACACAACAATTTGTCAAAAGAGGACCGATAGCAAAGTTGAGGGGGTGGGTCGAGAAAATAATAATAAAAAACATGGGTTTACTTAGCATTGTGCTGTTGCGTTCTGTTCTGCTGTGCAGCTGGAAGCACTGGAGCTGCACGAGGATCAGTACCGCGTGGGTAACAGCAAGGTGTTCTTCCGCGCCGGTGTGCTAGCCAAGCTGGAGGAGGACAGGGAAAACAAGCTTAGTATCATCCTCACTGCCATGCAGGCACGCATCAGAGGAACTCTCAGCCGCATGTAAGTGTGGGCCCCCGCTAACGCCAAGCTACTATTGTATTGTTATACAGTCTGACCTCGCTTAACCGCACACATCCGTGTTCCACAAAATATCCTGATAGGCGAGGGAACCGGATAATCGAACACACATACTGTATGTGTGCGTGACATATGCTGCAAATCGGTAACCAGCGATTTTCTTCCGGATGGTGAGGGATCCGGATAACAGAGGACTGGATAAGCAAGGTCTGATTGTACTGCATTTTTTTAATAAATTTTACTTGTGCATTCCCAACAGACCCTAAGGTCTTCTTACAGGGTGCCCATAGAGCCAGTATGCCAGTGGCAAGTGAAAACTGCTGACCTCTGTTTTCTCACACACATGCACGTAGACAGTGTTTTCACATCTGTCACATGACCACACATGTACAGTAAAACCTGTCACATGACCACACATGTACAGTGAAACCTGTCACATGACCACACATGTACAGTAAAACCTGTCACATGACCACACATGTACAGTGAAATCTGTCACATGACCACACATGTACAGTAAAACCTGTCACATGACCACACATGTACAGTAAAACCTGTCACATGACCACACATGTACAGTGAAATCTGTCACACGACCACACATGTACAGTAAAACCTGTCACATGACCACACATGTACAGTAAAACCTGTCACATGACCACACATGTACAGTGAAATCTGTCACATGACTGCTCCGATAAGGTGACCACCTGTCCCAGAAGACCACTGCAACCAGGACCAAGGGATGCTATTTCCAGTCAAATGACCCTGGATATGGAGACCGCCCTTTTGAAGGCCCCTTGAGCAGTCATCTTAGCCAGGTTTCACTGTTCGTGGTACCCATATTGGTTACAACTCCACTCAACCTCTGCATCTATGTTTCATTGTACGTGCTACTCATATTGGTTACAACTCCACTCAACCCCTGCATCTATGGGTCACTGTACGTGATACCCATATTGGTTACAACTCCACTCAACCCCTGCATCTATGTTTCACTGTACGTGATACCCATATTGGTTACAACTCCACTCAACCCCTGCATCTATGTTTCACTGTACGTGGTACCCATATTGGTTACAACTCCACTCAACCCCTGCATCTATGTTTCACTGTACGTGCTACTCATATTGGTTACAACTCCACTCAACCCCTGCATCTATGTTTCATTGTACGTGATACCCATATTGGTTACAACTCCACTCAACCCCTGCATCTATGTTTCACTGTACGTGGTACCCATATTGGTTACAACTCCACTCAACCCCTGCATCTATGTTTCACTGTACGTGATACCCATATTGGTTACAACTCCACTCAACCCCTGCATCTATGTTTCACTGTACGTGCTACTCATATTGGTTACAACTCCACTCAACCCCTGCATCTATGTTTCATTGTACGTGATACCCATATTGGTTACAACTCCACTCAACCCCTGCATCTATGTTTCACTGTACGTGGTACCCATATTGGTTACAACTCCACTCAACACCTGCTTCTATGGGCCACATGACTTTGGTCATGTTGTTCCACTGTGCACATGCGTATGTTTCAAGTCTCTGTCCCTACGAGAGGTCGGGGGATGAGGCAAGTGGGGTTTGAGCAGAGACATCACATCTGCGATGTCTATTCTCAAACCCCACTTGCCACACCCGCTGACATCTCGTAGAGACTTGAAACGTACGCATGGGCGGCTGCTGCTGTGTGCGTTTGTGTGTGTGTGTGTGTGTGTGCAAGTGTGCCTGCGTGCGTGCGTGCATGTGTGTGTGTGTGTGTGTGTGTGTGTGTGTGTGTATGTGTGTGTGCATGTGTGTGTGTGTGCGTGTGTCTGTGTATGTGAACCACAGGTTCTGTGTACATGATTTTGGATATATACCGAGCCTTCTTTGTAAGGAGTGAACTGTTTCTGCCACGGCATACCTCTGATACAGTGTTAGCATTGCACCAAAGAGTCCATAAGACCAAGAATGTGCAACTGGGGTCTGGCTGCTGTAGGCCCCCCGCCGCGCGGCGGAATTCCAACATTACGTCATGCCGCTGAGGCACATCTGTACAAAACTCCGCATTCCGCGGTGCTTGGGACCAGGGAGTAGTACAAGCGCAACGAACATGTACGTCATTTTTGACGTAATGTTGGAATTCCGCCGACCGGATCCCCATGTAGAGAGTTGCACACTCTTGGGGTTATGGACTCTTGGTTGTGGCGATAGCTGTGATGATCATAGTGTGACTTTTTTGTCTGTGCTGCTCTTGTGTGTATTGTGTATCTTTCTCCAGTAACTATCAGAAGTTAGTACAGCAGAGTGAGGCTATTCACGTTGTGCAGAGGAACTGCAGAGCCTACCTCATTCTGCGTCGCTGGCCATGGTGGAGACTGTACACTAAGGTGAGATATTCTCGTGTGTGTGTGTGCGTGTGTGCGTGTGTGTGTGTGTGTGTGTGTGTGTGTGTGTGTGTGCTCTTGTTGTTCCTGGACCAACTGTCAACGTTCATTTAAATCGGCTGCGGGTCTCAAGCGTCACCGTTGTGGAACCTGTTCAAAGCGCCCTACTGTGGCTGAACGCCAACAATTCAAGTTTCACTGCCAAGTTTGCCACAACCGACGGTTCCGGAGGCGGCAAGATCTGGAACGCCACTTGGAGCATTGCCTTCCTCCCCCCTAACCTCTCTGACAGTACCTCCCTTTGGGGAGCGGCGTGGCCATTTCTGGCAGCAGTCAATAATAGTAGTAGTAGTAGTAGAATGTGTGTGTGTGTGTGTGTGTGTATGTGCGTGTGTGTATGTGTGGTGTGTGCATACTTGTGAGCTCCGGGGGTTCCAGCTGAACAACTGCCAGGACAAGTCCAGGAGATCTTGCTAAGGCATCACGGCGAAATAGTACCTCAGCCAACCTCTCCATGTCGGTCGGCCACTCACACGGGAGACGACATGACTGGAAATGGCAGTGTTCAGTACAGGACGTGTGTGTGTGTGTACGTCTGTGCACGTCTGTGTGGACATCTGCGTGTGCATGCTGGTGATGTTGTAACATGCTAATTGTTATTCTGGCTAATATCAAACCAAGTGGTAAAATCATTTGATTGTGTGTTCATTCGTGGGTGTGCTCGTGGTGGCTGTGGTAATGTGTATGTGTGATACTCATTTTTCCTCGTCTGTGTGTGTATGAGTGCAGGTGAAGCCATTGCTAAATGTGACTCATCAGGACGACGAGCTCCGCGCCATCGAGGTCGAGCTGAAGACGGTCAATGACAAACTGGCCCGGAGCGACCGGGACGTGGACAATCTGCGTAACTTAGTGGATACACTGACAATGGAGAAGAGCAAACTCAATGAACAACTCACCTCTGAACAGGACATGCTTAACGAAGCTGAAGAGGTCAGTACCGGACTGTCAGTCAGTCGGTCGGTTGGTCGCCGAATAACTACGGGTCAGCCTGCTAGCGTGGACTGTTCTTGTTTTCATGTATTACAGTGTATGCACAGTTGAGTCACCGTGTATACATTGCTATGCTGTGCCAGGGTAAAATTCTAGCTTGGTCTGTTCTTCAGCGCTACCCGACAGTACTGTATCACATTACATGTACACTGCTATTGTTGTGTACACAGGTAATCATGTACTAGTAGTATGATCAAAGGCATGCCATGTTGCACAGCAAAATTGACACGCACAAGACAGGTGTAGGTGCGGGTGTGCATGTTGAATGTGGGCCAAGAGCACAGGGACTGGGGGAGGACAGGTGGACAGTTTAACATTATTTTTTTTGCATTGTCCTCGTTGAATTGTAAGACCCGCGCCACGTTTAATTACCCGCTCGTGTACTGACTTCTCTCCCGCTCTGTGCTGCTCCAGGCACGCTCAGAGTTGCTGCAGTGCTGCGGTAACCTGGAAGAGGCACTTCACGACACTGAGATGCGTCTGGACGAGGAAGAGGACCGCAGCAAGGACCTGTCTGCAGAGCAGAAGAAGCTGCAGGAAAAGATCACCGTCATGGAAGAACAGTAAGCTGAAAAATGGGAAAAACGGGTTTTCTCGCCTGTCAGCCGCCTGTCAGCTGCCTGTCAGCTGCCTTGCCTCGTGGAACACACACTCTGTTGTGGTGGTTATTATTATTGACTTTTGGCACCCGTGACGAGCACTACCGTAAAGTTTTGTATAAAAGCCGCGGCTTCTATGACATTCTTGGTGAAATTTTGCAGGCTTCTATATGAGACAGGCTTCTATACAAGACAGGTATTTCTATGTATGTCAACACTAAAACCATGCTTATGTGTGATTTGATGGGCCCAAAATTGCGGCTTCTATTCGAGGACGGCTTCTATTCAAGTGCGGCTTTTATACAAGACTTTACAGTACATGTGTGTCAATGTACAGAGACTGACCAGGGTCTTGTTATGTCTCGTAGTTACATTGCTATGCCACAATGCCTGCGACATGAGCAGTGATTGACAACTAAAACTCTCTCTCTCTCTCTGTCTCTCTCTCTCTGTCTCTCTCTGTCTCTCTCTGTCTCTCTCTCTCTGTCTCTCTGTCTCTCTCTCTCTCTCTCTCTCTCTCTCTCTCTTTCTCTTTCTCTCTCTCTCTCTCTCTCTCTCTCTCTCTCTCTCTCTCTCTCTCTCTCCTCTCTCTCTCGCTCTCTCTCTCTCTCTCTCTCTCTCTCTCTCTCTCTCTCTCTCTCTCTCTCTCTCTCTCTCTCTCTCTCTCTCTCTCTCTCTCTCTCTCTCTCTCTCTCTCTCTCTCTCTCTCTCTCTCTCTCTCTCTCTCTCTCTCTCTCTCTCTCTCTCTCTCTCTCTCTCTCTCTCTCTCTCTCTCTCTCTCTCTCTCTCTCTCTCTCTCTCTCTCTCTCTCTCTCTCTCTCTCTCTCTCTCTCTCTCTCTCTCTCTCTCTCTCTCTCTCTTCTTTGTTGCGTAGGCTGGCAGAAGAGTCCGGAAAGGCCCAGAAGCTGGTGTTGGCGAATGTTGCACTAGAAGCTAAGGTCAAGGGCCTGGATGAGATGACTGAACGCCAGGAAGACCAAGTCAACAAGGTATACCTCTTATATGGACCTGTCCTGTGGTGGCTCTCCTCCTCCTCTTCCTCCTCCTCCTTTTCTTCCTCCTCCTCCTCCTCCTCCTCCTCCTCCTCCTTCTTTTCTTCTTCCTCCTCCTCCTCCTTTTCTTCCTCCTCCTCCTCCTCCTCCTCCTCCTCCTCCTCCTCCTCCTCCTCCTCCTCCTCCTCCTCCTTTTCTTCCTCCTTTTCTTCCTCCTCCTCCTCCTCCTCCTCCTCCTCTTCCTCTCTCCTCTCTCCCTGAGGTCTTCCTTTCTCTTCCTGCATTATCCTCAGTGCATGATTGTTTCACTTGTGTTGCAGGGTAAACTGTTGCTCTTCATGTTCTTGAAGCTGTCAATCAAAGACACATGGATAACTGCGTTTATCTCTATTCACACTCAACACCATTCCTATCGAAAGAAAACTTGACATTGTTTTTCCTGCTGGCAATGGTAACAATGACACTGATTCTTGTGATGTTCATGGTTCAGTTGTTCTTTGCTTTGTTTGCTGTGTGTTTGACAGCTTCAAAAGGAGCGTAAGCAACTGGAAGAGCGGGTCAAGGAGACCACACAGGCGTTGGATGACGAGAGTGATCGCGTCAAGACCCTGGCCAAGTCCAAGGCTAAGAATGAGACCATGATAGCTGACCTGGAGAGTCGCCTGGGCACCGAAGAAAAGGTACATTCAGCCTGCAAGTGTGTGTGTGTGTGTGTGTGTGTGTGTGTGTGTATGTGTGTGCATACTAGGGAGGTTTAGTTCCCACGTAACGGAAACGCGTACGTGGGTGATCCACGTAAAGTGGGTGAAGGGCAACTACGTTGCAATGTTGTGTTTAGTCACACGGAACAAACAAAAGCATGAAGCGAAAGGCCCAAACCTGATCAAAGACGAATCTACCCGGGCCTAAGAAGCTCATCCAATATTTTGATTTCATGCTTCGGAAACTTCTGCTGCTGAGCACCCTCACAGCTCGCACAATGCGCTACATTCTGATTTTCACCCACGTTCTGGCGGAACGCGGGTGAGCCTCCATACACGGTATGTCGTGAATCAGAAAACGTCTGTACGTGGGTCACTGAGTATCACGTGATACACACACGTAAAGTACCCACGGATTACGTGGGACTAAACCTCCCTATTATATGTGTGTGTGTGTGTGTGTGCGTGTGTGTGCGTGTGTTTGTATGTGTAATCTACGTGTCTGTATGTATGTTTGTGTGTGGGTGTGTGTGTATGTGCGTTTGTTTGTGTGTGTGTGTGTGTGTGTGTGTGTGTGTGTGTGTGTGTGTGTGTGTGTGTGTGTGTTTCTGGCTCTGTTCTCTTTTGTTTGCTGGCCACTGCTCAGTGATGTATGTATCTGCTCAGCATGACCCACTACACTATTCAGCCACATCATGTTGCCTACTGGTAGCATTGCTCACAGGTGACTTGTCAGCATGCTGAACTGAACCACTGCAACCACCTGCATATATGCAAATCTCTATTTAAGCCTTTACCTTTGCAGCTATAGAAAAGAAAATGGACCAAGGAACTACAAGTTATCGCACGAGCTGATTGTTTAGTAACTGGTGGTGGTAGTGGACATTATAGCTTGTAGTTCCTTGGTCCATTTTCTTTTCTATAAATTAATCCTTTGCTCTCCATCCGAGTCCATTCTTTGCAGCTATGTACCATATTTTTCCGGAGTATAAGCCGCCCTTCGAACACTCCATATTCACCCAAAGGGGGGGGGGGGGGAGTGCAGCTCATACTCCGACGATCGAATTAACGGTGATGAAAAGGGTAGATGTCTGTATTTCGTGGCAAGAAATAATCTGACTGCGGCTTATACTCCGGAAAGTATGATAATCTTTCTCCCCCGTCCTTCTCTCCCGTTCCTCGCGTTGTAGAACCGCAAAGAGTTGGAGAAGCAGAAGAAGAAGGTGGATGCTGAAGCACGTGAGCTGCAGGAGAAGCTGTTTGCAGCGCTGATGAAGATCCAAGAACTGGAGTCCACTGTTGCTCGCCTTGAAGGAGAGCTATCCTCCACAAACCAGCGGTGAGCATGAACACCAGTGGTGTCTCTTGATATCTATCACCATTAGAATCTTCTCTGTAGCGTAAATCATCAGCTGTCAAAGCCCGGTTATGTCCATATAGGGTGCTCTGTTCCTTTTCTCGTCATGCCAAATCAGCACGTTGTCTTTAACTTGTCCTGCTGTATTGCAAGGTGCTGTACACTGTGTGTGTGCGTGTGCGTGTGCGTGTGCGTGCGCGCGTTTGTGTGTGTGTGTGTGTGTGTGTGTGTGTGTGTGGTGTGTGTGTGTGTGTGTGTGTGTGTGTGTGTGTGTGTGTGGTGTGTGTGTGTGTGTGTGTGTGGTGTGTGTGTGTGTGTGTGTGGTGTGCATGCGTGTCGGGTATCTGTAGGCTTGAAGAGGAGAGTACCGCCAAGGCGCAGCTGGAAAAGAAGCATCGTGAGCTAGAAGGTCAGATCGCCGTCTTGAACGAAGATTTGGACATGGAACGTCCCGCCAGAGGAGACGCTGATAAGAAGAGCAAGCAGCTGGAATCGGTACGTTCACTTCTCCTCTTTCACCCATTTAAGACTACATGTCATGGCAACCAGGCTCTGCACTCCTTATTTGGCATTGAAAAAGACGTACATATACGTCCTCAGCGCCTGGGCGTTATTTTTCATGACGTATATGTATATGTACGTCTTTGGCATTAAATGAGTTAATTCATTGCAACTAGCTAAATTGACGATCATCAATGACTTCCTGAACGTTGTGTCGCATGCCTCGTGTGATGCTTCTTTTATAACTTTCCTTCACGTTCTGCCTCTATCTCTGTCTCCATGTCTCTCGCAAACACACACACACACACACACACACACACACACGCACGCACACACACACACACACACACACACACACACACACACGTGCTCACTCTACACCCCCCCCCCCCCCACAGGAACTGGAGAATCTTCAGAATGAGCTTGAGGAGCAAGTGAGTGGCACGATCGCCATGGAGGAAGTGCGTCGCAAGCGTGAAGGAGAGGTAGCCAGTCTGAAACTGCAGGTACGGAGGGCACTCGTATGCACGATGCCGCGTTGTCCGAGCTCAAGGAGAGGCTCAATTCTCAGATCCAGCGTCTGCAGGAGGAGGCTGATCAGCTGAGTCGAGTAAGTCCTGTTGTCTGTTGTTTGGTGAACATTGCGTACCTACCAGACATTGTTCAAAGTGAGAAATGGAGTTTGCGGTGAAAGCATACGACATGGTCTTGGTATACATGAACACGCTGAGTAGAATAAGTCATGCTGTCTGTTGTCTGTGTTCTGGTGGACAATACGGACCTAGAAAACATCCTGTGCACAAGGAAAATTGGCTTTTGGGTGAACAAAGACGAAATATTCTTGATACTGTTAACAGGGATATTCTTGATACTGTTAACAGGGAAACATGCCTGTTTTAGTAAGTAATTTGCGAGCACACACACACGGATTTGCACCTGGAAAGGTTTGCGATTGGAGTCAATTTCTTTAGTTACTTTCCTACATGTCAACGTTTTGTGTCAGCTTATTTTTGCGGTTCCACACCCATAGCGAAAATCGCAAACGATTCCATACCCCAAATATTTCCCGGTTTACAGCTATACTGGTACATGAACTGAACTACCCTACCTGTCCTCTGTGTGTGTGTGTGTGTGTGTGTGTGTGTGTGTGTGTGTGTGTGTGTGTGTGTGTGTGTGTGTGTGTGTCTGTCTGTCTGTCTGTCTATGTGTGTGCCTGTTTGTGCGTATGTTTGTTTGTTGTCTGTTCAACTCTAGGCCAATTCCAACCTGGAGAAGGAGAAGAATCGCCTAGTGCATGAGAACCGTGACCTGGTGTCCGAGCTGGAGAGCGAGAAGGCGGCTCGCATTGAGTCCGACCGTCGTCGTCGTAACCTGGAACAGGCTAACATGGAGTTGTCCAACGTCAACAGTGAGAAGAACAGGAAACTGGACGAGCTCACTGCCACAAAGACCAAACTTCAGGTCAGCGTTGGGTAGTTACTAGTAGATGTGTGTCACCAAGAGTACACCAACACCCAGAGTGTCATTTGTACAACTACATGTACAAGCAGGATTCAAGCACATCTCTTTATGAACAGCTGCACTTTGCGTCAGACCTCACCTACTCGTAACGCTAAAACGTTTGTTGAGAGTGTTGTCTTTTAACGTGTACTGTGTGATGAACCTGATAATGGGCTGGGTAATTGCTGAAGTGGACGTCTAATTCTGAGAGAGACCACAAATTTCAGTTTCTTCAGCACTGACATTATTTTTTTGAAACATTTCACAAGTAAACTTTCATGCCCTCTCCTCAGTTGATATGGACGTCTTTGTTTTTTGTTCTCGTGTTCTTGTCTTCAGTCTGACCTTGAAGGTAGCAATGCTCACTTGGTGGATCTGGAGTCTAAGGTGTCTAGCCTGGAGCGCGGCAAGCATGCGCTGGAATCCCAGCTCAATGAGCTCAGGGTAAGCTTAGCTTCCAACTGCTGTGGGTGGGGATAGCATGCACAAGTACACTGGAACTCACATGTGGGGTAGTGCCTTTGCTGATTGCATTATGCAGAGCTCACTGACTTGTCAGTTTGAGCACTATGTGACAAGGTACATTCGGGCCTGGTTTAAATCTGGCTTCTGGATCACGCCACGTCCTTGACTCGCAAGTCACACGCTATGTACAGCTCTGGACACGATTGGTGGCCCGTGCACCTACTACTAATAGATATCTGGTATTTGAAAGTCTTTGCAGACGTGGATGATACTCCTAAACCCATGTTGTTTTTCTTGTGTATTCGGGCTATGCAACGGTTTCCAACCTGTCCTCGACAGCATTTCACCAGTGCATGATTCTAACCACAGGTTTATGGCCAGTACCACCACCTGCCACCTACTTTCAAATGCCAGTATGATAAATGCGCTGTATATCCGTATTCGAAACAATATTGCCAAGGGATAGCTGAGGGACAAAAAAATGTATTCGGAGCTGAAAATGGTATTGTGCTGCATTCTTGTCTTTCCTTGCTGTTGTTTTTAATTCTCATTGTTCAGGAGTCAACGATGGAAGATGCAGCTAGTCTCTCTGCTGTCACACACAAGCTAAAGGCCTCACAGGCTGAAGTAGTAACTCTCAATGATCAGCTGGAGGAGGAGCAAAATGCCCGCGAAGAGATGCAGAAGCAGTTGAGCAATGCCAACACTCAGGTACATATAGTTCGGATACCTAGGCATGCCTGCTGTCTCTCTCTCTCCGTCTCTCTCTCTCTCTCTCTCTCTCTCTCTCTCTCTCTCTCCCTCTTTCTCTCTCTCTCTCTCTCTCTCTCTCTCTCTCTCTCTCTCTCTTTGTTTGTTTGCTCTCAGTCTGTGCAATATTCTTGGGTTGGTTCTTGGGCAATTCTCCAATGGCTCACTCCGAAACCTCTCTGCTATTGGCAACAGTGCTCATTCAAGTCATGCTCTCTGCTCGGTGCTCTGTACTTCTACCTGTGTGTGTTTATGTGCAGCTTGCTGATACACGTCGGGATCGTGACCAACTATCCCTGGACAACGAGGAGCTGGAGAACTACCGCAAGAAGTCGCAGAGAGAAATGGAGTCTCTGCAGACGCAGCAGGACGAACTGGCCAACGCCAACGCCAAGCTGGAGAAGACCAAGAAACGACTAACGGAAGAAGTGAGCTATGCTGCATGCCTGCGTGGCTGTTCTCTAATGCTATATGCTGGTAGTTAGGCTGTTGTACAGTTATGCTCGATGAAATCCGACCTAAAGTGCATGGAGCCGTCTACTTGCACGGCCCTTGACGCCCTGGGAGTGGCATGAATGCTGCAGGACGTACACATGTTCACATGCAGTGATGAAATCGGAACTGGTCCTGGGCGTCAGTTTTTCACTTTTCTGTTGGATTTCAGTGAGTGCAGCTGTAGGTTTCTGACTGTAAAGTTCAAGAGTCACTAGGCAGCATGGTGCATGATGAAAGGTTTGCTATATCCAAGCAAACTGATCTTCTTCCTAATAAAATAAATAGAGGAAGAGTGAGCCAAACTATCGTAAGTGAATGTGCTTATAGTTATTATGTGAACACGATTGGTGGAATGCTCGGCAGCTGAATATACTACTAAGGCCTCGGTCACACTGCGGCAAATTTGAAACTGGACGCAGCGTCAAACCCAAGCACTTTGGTCACATGACCAATATGTGAAACCACTCCTGGGTGTAGTATCGGTTGAGTTCTTGTAAGTACAGTGCCAGGGAACACGATAAGATTTCGAAATTGCTCTGACACAATGTCCTGCCACTTCTGGAAACGGTCGGACATGGCCGAACACTGTGATTTGGCAGATTTTGTGATACATGTACATGTCAGGGACTCCTATTTTTCCATCACTTTCATACACGTAAATGTACATACTCCCGGGGGGGGGGGGGGGGGTACATACTCTTGATGCTATTAATATTATTAGTATTACAGTGCGGTGCTACAAAAGTACAGTGCTGGAAACTGAAATCCGACCTCTGAGCGGTGGGTTCACATTCTGGCGGTCTCTGTTTCGTAGTGTTACCATCCCGTGGTGGGTCTTTGCGATGTGAGCGCACCGCACCGCTCAGGGGTCGGATTTCAGTTGCCAGCACTGTACAAGTAACATGACAACGATCTCGAGTCAAGTAGATGATTGTAACACTGATTCAAATCTCTGTGCATTGTGCAGCAAACACAGTAACTGGGACTGTGTGACTGTGAGCGTGCAGTGGTTCTGCACATATCGGATTTGAGCTGGTTTTTTCGACGACAAAGTAATTTTTATGAAGTCAGCAAAAGACAAAGTGGGCACCTGCTCGCCCGTTCTTGTTGCCAGCTCC